TTTTGCGTTTCCTCGTATATAATTGACAGATGGGAACTTTCATTTTTAATTTAGATAGAGATACTAAAAAGTAATTTAGCTACAAATTGCTTAAAGTATCATCAAAATCGGTCCACTAGAACTCAGTATATAAAACTTTAAAATACATCAAAAGGTGTGTGTTGGTGCCCATTTTTCGTGCCGGTATAGGATAAAATGATACAATCGGATTAAATGTTTCAAATTCACTTGTTCGATATTTTCAGAACTATCTTTTTTTATCGTCTAATAAAGAATGTTAAAAATTCCGTTAGTCCAATATTTCAACATCGACGTTTGTTTTCAGGTTCAATCATGTAGAAGTAATATAATTTTTGTAAACTTTTACTTTCTTTGCGTAATATCTCAAACGCATTAAAAAACGTATTGTGTAACATAAAAAAAGATCTTGCGATATAAAAAGTCAAAGTAATTTGCATTGTCCGTGTTTTAAATTTGCTACAAGGTTTTTATTACTCAACATAATAAACATAATATACGTATGAATTTATATGGGCTAAATATAACATTTCTAAAAAAAATTGTGTAAAAACATATGCCAAGTGCCATCTGCTTTATAGAAGGGTCTTAAGGTGCAGCAGATGTTCTAAATTGGGGCAGATGATTTGCCTAAAGCCGAACAAAACAGTTTTTAATTAGTTTGGGTTCAATTACAGAATCAAATTTTAGTTAGATATTCCAGTTTTATAACATTTTGTGATTTTTTTAGTAAAAATATACAATAAACGGAAGATCAATTCGGGCAGAAAAACATGCTATTTTATTTTATTTTTGATATTTTAAGAACTGATAAAGATAATAACCCATTAGCTAGTATTAATAATAATAATTGTTTAGCGATGACCTAACTATTAGGTATTCACTCTATGGTATTCACACTTGCGCGTCCAATACGAACAAATACATTTAGGACAAACTGGCAACAATGCAAATTACTGATTTAGAGTTTTCGCATAGTAGATTCGAATATTTTGATTTTTTTTTTGTGAAATAAAAAAATAGTAAAAATTAAAAAAATAAGTAATTTACTGGCCTCATTTTAACGTCGTTATTTGTCTTATAAATTAGTAGTCGATACATTAAAATAATTTAAAACAACATCGAGTGCTTATATAACCTGACCTTATCTATTAATTAATCGGCATTATACAAACATCTAAAAAGTAAATATTTCTGCGATCGACCTTCTCCGCGAGAACGTGAAAGCGCAACAATTGCAAATACTGATCGAAAAAAAACTTCGAAATTTCTCATTCGAATTTTCCCACACAGTCGAACGCCTGCAAGAAGGACGAAGGGAAATCGAAACAAACTCCCGAAGAAAGCCTGGACGACTGTGATGGCGTCGTGCTCCGCAACGGCGTGAATCGCGCTCCCGATGTAGCCGTCAAACGTTACAGTGACAGTTTTGTCATCGAAAACGATGCAACGGAAGAATCAAAGACCAGCAGCACTCCGACTCCTCTAACCCGAGCCCTGAGCGGTTTCTTCGTTTTAGACCAGACCAAGAAGGCCAACCGCCGATTCAGCGACTTGTTTAGGTATTTCACGACAAAAATTACTCGTGAATTATGTTGTAACGTCGTGTTTTTAGACCGGCCAGCGCCAAGCTGTCTGGCAGCACCGAAAGCCTCAAAGTTTCCATGAAACTGGAGAAGAATGTGGACGATAAGAAGGAGAAGAAAAATGCGTCGGATACGGCGAAAAATAAAAACAACCAGAAAAACGAGAACGTCAAGAAAAATGTAAAGGTGACTGATTCTTCAAATTTGTAACATAAACATGAATCTTTTCTTAATCGTAGGGTAAATTACAAGAGACTGGAAAAGCTTCAATAACTGATACGTCTCAGTCTTATTTGAAACGAGTCAAGTCGAGGATTTACAAGAGCAAAAGCGACGATTCCTCCAAAATCGAGCTGGACAATAAATACAAAAAATTGAAACCGAAAAAGTCTCTCGATTTGAACAACAGAATACCTGAAGAGGAAGTGCCTTCCACTCCGTCTCCTGGTTAGTTTATTTTCTCGCTCTGTGCATTGAATTCGGTAGATTATATTTCGAAATTTCTACCTGATTCATTGTAAACGTGAGTGTCGTTAATAGTTTTTTTTAAATATCGTTTGTCGTTTTTTATGTGAACAAAAACCAGTACCTGGGAGTATCGGAGGAATACAAAAATCTTTGGGTCATTTTCATTTTGGAAGATTAACCAGACAAACTACCAATTTAGAACGGATAAGGTGAGAAAGCTATTATTATTATGATAGAAACATGGCTTCTTTTCTTATTTAATCGCGGTATATGCAGTTTAATTAATTTATATTGCACTACATATTTTCCTGACAGTTTTAGATAACTTATACAGAGTCCCATTTTCGTGTGTTTTATGGTGTTCCTCTCTTATGAGTAAAGAAACAAAGATGCGGTTTTCACATCACTGCACTACTTTTTTATGAAATTAAAGATGCTACACACAGATTTGTCCTAGACCTCTTGGTTTCTGAAATACATTGCAAATTTGAAAATGTTTCCGGTTATCTGATAACTTATCAAAAAGGTGAAAACTAAGTCCCATAGAGTTTTTCACATAGAACTCAGGGCGTAACTAGATTTTTGCTGTGGGAGCTGTCATTCTTTAAATATCACCAGTAATAAGAAAACCGCATATTTGTATCTCTAGATACTCATAAACGAGAAACCCCATAAAACACACGAAAATGGGACACCCTGTACTGTATGCCTTGATACACCTTTATATCAAACCGTCACAGAGATAATACTAAAATTGAAAGGGTCAGCTCAAAACAATTTTAAACTTTAAATACCAACCGCGTACGCAAAACCGTGCATAAGTTAGCGGACCCATCAAAAATTCGCCGCGCTGCGCCGCGCCGCGCTTCGCATAAGTGCGCGATATGCTTAAATGTATACCCACATTGTATTAAGGATATTGTAAAAGGCTGATACGTAAGTTATCGAAATAATATTTTTAGTAGATACTTTTAATGATTTTCGCATTAAAATAATTTGCGGGATCGCTATATGGCTTCTCTTCGCCATTCGAAGAAATATCTAGCGTATCGTCAATTATGCGCGCGATATAAATTTAGAATATCGTTAAACCGATTATTAACGAACGCGTGGTACATCGTTATTTTGCGTCACTAATCGAAAATACCGTTTTTCAATTCGTTTTACTGTGCTACTGGCATGTTGTCAATATTAAAATGGTGGACGGACTCGTATGCGTTCGCCGCTATTGTTCCACATAATTTTATGTCTTATCGCTCCTGGTTATTAGTCCAATTACAATTACACCATTGTTTTATCGTTTTATAGTTTTTTTTTTATTTTCTTTACCACTAAAAACGTTTACGTTACTTATTATAATTGTTAGAAATACCGACGCTTATTTTGTTTTTTGAAAAAATAAGTGACATTGTTATTTTAACATATTTGTGATATTTTTTTTACCTTATATATCTTGCTATCAATCTTGAAGATAACTTTAAGAGAAAGATAAATAATAGTCTTCTTATAGTTCAAATAGGCTGTTCATTATCATTATTAAGTCGTTACGCAACTCGCAACTACTTTCACTCTTTTTCTAATAACTTTTTTATTTCAATTGTTATTTCTTACATCCATGTTACATCTACATGTATTTAGGAAGAAGACCCATCATTACACACTAATTAATGATAATAGTAACGACCATATTAAATAAAAACTGAGGCCATAGGTTAATTTCTTTTGAACCTTAAGAGCGTTAGATGGAAACGATATACACGAGGAGCGATTATATGTAACTAACATAGAAACATGACGATTTTCAACAATTGTTGCAAGTTAATTGTTTTTGTTTGCATGAATTTAATTATAATTTTATATATCTTTTCGTATGTTTAATAACAAAAATGTACTATATTGAAGTAATGGGTGTTTTTGAAAATAATTATAACTCCGTAGCCGTCCTTTTGGCTCCCAAAAATCGGTGGAGAGTTTCGCCCAGCCGAAGCCAGTTTTGGCAAAAGCCAAGTCCAGCAGCGCCATCAACTTGAGCCTACTGCGCAGTCGAAGGGCCAAAATGATGGAGCAGGGATGCGCCTCGGCCAGCGCCACCTGCAGGGACGAGTTCGACTTTATCGCCTTCGGGGACGTCCACTCGGGATCTACCACGAGCCTCAACAGGTTCCCCAGTTGGTTGTACATTAACAAAGGTACCTCATACGGCGATCTTCGGAGAATATCGCCAAAAAGGGGGTTGTTCTCCTTTCTGTATATTCTTATAGAATTTCATTGGAACACACTGTATATCAAGTACACTCATGCAAAAAAACGCAACGGAAAAATTTTTCGTCAAATTTAAAGTATTATGGTTTAATTTCGGCCTTCTTCAATAAGAGCAACGGCTTTTGCACATTCTTCGACACTAAGGACTAAGGACATTATTGAATCTTCGATATAAAACATGTAATTGTCAATATGACATTACGATAATAGTTAACAATGCTACCTCATCATATTAAAAAACAACATCAAAAAGTAATGATCATTTAAAAATTTACAAATTGTTGGTGGCAAGTTCATATATTTCGCTCTTGAAAATTAATCACGACATGTGTTGACATGAATCAAAAAAACAAAATGCTCAGGAGTTTGACCGAAAAATTATGTTTAAGGAAAAGGCTCACTAAATTATTGCCCAGGGTGTTTTATATTTAATGTAAACAACAACCTTTTGAATAACCCTGTATAAGTGAAATGAGTTTACCAATTAAAGTAGGTATGTTTATATACAGTTTTCTAAAAAAAAATCATGAAATCAGTGCTAAAAAAAATATAATACTTTAAATTCGACGAAACATTTTTCCGTTGTGTTTTTTTTGCATGTGAGTGTACAAATGTCCTATTTAAAATTAGCCAGGTACTAACTGGAGGGGCTTTGTTTTTGTATAGGTGAGGCCAAGGTGTCTCAGCCGGTGACTCGCAAGGGCTCCGACAGGAAGACGGAGCGCGGCTGTGAAGAGGCGGAGGGCGAGGGGCAAGGGGCTGCGGATAAGAACGACGATGCCCAGATGCCTGTAGAGAGGAGCGATTCCGGAGCTCAATCGGAGAGGTAAGTCTGTGATCATTGCCCAAATGGCTATGTTTAAAAATGAGAAGCGTTCAGACTCTTGTAGATAAGACTGATAAGAGTCTAAAGATATATTACGGCCTATTTATAATTGTTTAACTAATTATTTAGTTATTCGACATTATCAAATAACGAGTCTTTTTCTTAAATTTATTTTACTATAAAAACAATTGAAGGGTCCAGGGCGAAAACTTGATAAGCGCCAATTTCTTAATTTTAGAATTTTACAATTTTTATGTAATTCTTGATCCCACTTTTATATCCTAAAGGGGTGATTTTGTATAAAACTTTTACCTTTTTTCTCTAATAAATGTGCTCGTACCAGAGAATTCTAACTTGTTTTAAGAAACTGACTTTTTAAAATCCAGCTTTCTTCATAACGTGTTATATAATAAATAATGTTTCTTTTTTCTTGAAAATTGCATCTCTCGGTTATAAAATTAATATAATTCATTATCAAATTACAAAATTATCTATTTACCTATTTGCTTTTTCCTTAATTTATATCAAAATAAACCTTAAAACAACAACATATAAATAATTGAGCGAAGAGCGTTGAATAAAAATTATCGATGTATATTTAGTTATCAAGGCGAGATTAGATTATCGCAGGACAATTCAATAATCAGTCGTTTTAATGGTTTTTGGCAAACGAACGGTCGTCATTTTACGAGTCCGTGACGGAATTTTTGCCTTATAATGCCGGACAGGCGCTCTCTATCCGAGTTTTTCACTGGTAATGGTGCTCACAGAAGAAGCAGGTGCGTAACGTGGTGATTGGTGCTCACTAGATCTCTCAAATAGGTTTTATCTTAAAATTACAACGATTTTATGAATTATTAATCGCGGTGTCGGTATAACCTGTAGTACAGCATTATGTAAAATAAACTCGTGATTCTTTCGGTCGTGTTTGAATACAAGCTTATTTATTTTATGATATACTGTTTGGTTTGTCACGATAATACAAGTATATTACATATATATATGGGTATCTCTTTCAACTATTTTAATTGGTTTTTGATCTTAACGTAGGAATAATTTCTAAATTAATGAAAATACATATTAAAACATTGAAATGTTGAGAGTCGATCATGCATAATAGAAAGAAATTGAGCTGTTGTCAAAAATTAGATTAGAAGTTCAAAGAAAGGCTAACTGGATGTATCATTCTCTAATCGCCTAAAAATTAAATAAATTTGTTAAACTAATTGAATTTTAGATAGCAATATTTACTATGCGGTTTTAGAAAATAAAATAACAATCCATTTTGAGAAAATAAATTTAGGCTACATAAAAAATTTAGGTTTCATAATGACAATGATATTAGTTACTGCATCAAAGCGGTTTTAGGAAATTCATCCCTTTTGGGAGAAAATTTGGGTATGAAAGTATGATGGAGATGAAAATTTGTCATTAATGATATTATTGAGAACTGGTCACTTAGCTTCACACCTCTGGCAAAAGCTAGTTATAACTTAGGAAAAGATATGTTATTTTTTAGGTCTTTTCCTAAATATTTGCAATATACAAAAAATGAGCACCAAACGAAAAAGCTATTACATATAGATTTTTTTAAATGTTAACTATTACAAAACGTGAAAGTCCTTCTATTTGTTTTTCTGGTTTTAATCGTGAACATTTTGTTTCAAAGTTTTGATTACATCAAAGCGGTTTTAGAAAATTCATCCCTTTTGGGAGAAAATTTGGGTATGAAAGTATGATTGAGATGAAAATTTGTCATTTCATATTATTGAGAACTGGTCACTTAGCTTCACGCCTCTGGCAAAAGCTAGTTATAACTTAGGAAAAGATATGATATTTTATAGGCCTTTTCCTAAATATTTGCAATATACAAAAAATGAGCACCAAACAAAAAAGCTATTGTGTATAGATTTTTTTAAATGTTAACTATTACAAAACGTGAAAGTCCTTCTATTTGTTTTTCTTGATTTAATCGTGAACATTTTGTTTCAAGGTTTTGATTATAATTGTTAAGTAAACATGTCCTATTTGTCTAACAATATTGACTTAAGCTGTTTAATAATACGTGAATTGCCGTACGTACTTAACATTTGCCTTTTGAAATTAACACCTAAAACTCTTATATTGCACCGTTATCAGGACGTGATGCAACCAAAGTGCATTTGTTTTGAGATTTTATCCGTTTTCCGTTTAAATTGTATCAAATTACGTATTTACTTTCAAAGAAATGAACTGATTAAACTAAAAATAACTGGAATATTTAAAATATACGATTTCTTCTGATAGTTTCATAATTTTGATGAATTATTTTTTAGTTCGAATATTTCCCAATCGAGTGGAGCCAAAAAAAGAAATACTAGTCATATAAATCGATCTGAAAGTGTTAAGGAACAACCAGAAAAAGTAAGTGTTGTTATTTATATCTCACTTTCAAGATTATTCAATGTTTTTTTTTGTTACAGAATAGAAAACAGCAACAGAGGAGAAACGTCAGTGATCCATCCCATAGTTTCAATACAAGGTGAGCGTTGAATTTATGAAATCAAATTCAAGTTTTGTTACTTAGTCACTGCTACTTCTTTTAATCAAAACATCTTTTAATACTATACACTCTTTTTATGATTATTTACACATTTAGAATATAGTTTCCAGTATATAAAAATTTCCACCTTACTTGAATGATTTCATTGGGGTTTTTGACTTTTAATCCTATAAATAATTTATTTTAATTACTTTGCTCTAATATTGCATTTTTTGCTGTAGTCCCGAAGCGGACGTGGATCGACAGGCCTTATCCAAAAATGCTGATTCGGGCAGTTCTTCTAATTCCAATATATCTTGCAAGTAAGTATTCTATTACAGAAATTAACCGCGTGACTGACAAAAGAAAATATCTTGTTTCATTCTTATTTCATTATATTTCAATGTAAGTTTTTCTTTCAGGAATAATATTATGTATATAAATTTCTGGTACTTTGGATTTTACCCTTAATTCTAATAATCTCTTTGGAAAAAACATATTCATATAGATTTTTTATGCAAAATTTCCTAATAAGATTTTTTTTAATAAAAATAATTTACTTAGCATAGAGCCAGACTTAATTTCAATTAAACTTTGTATTCTTCATTTCAGTCAAAAATTACGGAAGAACTAAATAAGGTCGAATGAAACATACTATTTTTTTTAAATGAGTCTATTCATTTGTTGATTGTAATCAACTTAAGTGCGTTGTGTTAGAACTAATGAAGAAAATTCAGCTGAACCATTATTATGTAAAAATTAAGTTATTTAAAATGACAAATTAAAAATTATTTTACTAAAAACGCTCTTGCCAATAAATTAACGTGATATTTCGAACAATTTTCCAATTCTAAAACGAGTAGTTACAGTGGCCGACTGTCGGAGAGTCCATCGAACAGCATGGACGTTCACCAGGCCACCGTCAGGACACAGTCCGACAGCGACAGCGACATGGACGGCGAGACCGATCCCCTCAACTGGCAAGAGCTCGTCACCGAGGAAGAACTCAAAAAACTCAATCCCAACGAGAAGAAACGCCAAGAAGTCATCAACGGTCAGTATCTCTAACTCGTTTCGTAATTCTCGAAAATTGCTATTTTTTCTTTCAGAATTGATCCTCACCGAGGTCAGTCACGTGCGCATGCTGAAGGTCTTGTACAAGTTATTTTACAAGACGCTTTACAACAGCCAAATCCTAAAACCGGACGAGCTGAATCTGCTCTTTCCCAACATCAAGGAGCTGCTGGACGTACACAGCGAGATCAATAAGGAAATGCGTAGGATACGTAAAGAAGATCCATTGGTCCGGCAGATCGGCGATGTCTTATTGGCTACGTTTACCGGTAAATAGAGAAAAAGAGTTTTCGAGTACATAGGGTTCCGTACCTCTAAAGGAAAAAAACAAAACCCTTATAGGATCACTTTGTTGTCTGTCTCTCTCTCTGTCTGTCAAGACCCTTTATCTCTAGAATGCGTGAAGGTCTACAGCCCCTTGAAGCTGTGAAAAAATCAAACTTTTAAGTTAACGTAAAAAATTATACGGCCGTTTATGCCGCAAAAAACTTATATTTCGACAGTCGACAGTCTCAAGGGAATGAAAATTTATAGGGTATTTTCCCTTGACCTAGAACTATGAAATTTGGCAAGTAATACCGTCGTCTTATACTACAAGTATAGGGAAAAATCTGAAAACTATACATTTGTAATTAAATCATAAAAAATATATTCTTTATTTAAAGTATTTAAGCAATCATCGAGGTTAAGCAACGGTATGCGCGGTCATAAGTATATGGGTGATCAAATCTTTTTGTAATTTTTTTAAAGCTTTTACTATTTGTACAGAAGAGAAAAATCTGAAAACCGTATATTTTTATTAATTAAATCACAAAAAAATGCGATACTCGATTGCTGAACTATTTATAATATGTACCTATAAATTGGTACAGAATCCTGTACTTTTTTTACGTTACTTTTTTTGATATGATTTATACTTTTGTTTGATGCATTAGGCAATCAAGGTGAGGCACTGCAGAAGGCATCGGCTACGTTTTGCGAAAGACAACAACTAGCTTTGGAATTTATCAAGAGAAGAAGGGAAAGAGACTCGAAATTCGATGCCGTACTGACAGAATGCGAAAAATCCAGACAGTGCCGAAGACTTCAACTTCAAGGTAACAACAAACGTATTTATGTACAATTTCGTAACAGTTTTTACAGTATTTCAATTTTTAGGCATTATCCCTGTTGAAATGCAAAGGTTGACGAGGTACTCCCTACTACTAGAACGACTAGTAAAAAGCGTAGAGGCAGCAGAAAAAGTCTGTAGCGATTACCAAGATGAGCTAGTCAAGTTGAAGCAGGTTCACCAACGCTCCAAAGAGGTTCTTTCACACGTCAATGATGCGGCCAAGTTGGCGCTTAACAAGCACAGGCTGGACGAGATCCAACGTCATTTGGACGTTTCGAATTTCAGGGCCAGCGATCATCCTATAGTGCACGATTTTAAGAACATCGATCTTACAAGGTTAAAGAAATGTCGATATACAGGGTGGTCCGAATTGTATTCGGGAAACCTCGGTAGCATATTCTGCATATAAAAATAAGTAAAAAAAGTTGGTATAAATGTATGTCCTAAAATGCTTTGTTTCGGAGATACAGGGGTAGAAGTTTCATTGTTATTTCGATTTCTGAACTAACGTCTACATTTGGATGAAAATTGGTGTCTGGGAGTTTTTTATCTCCGAAACGAAGCATTTTAGGATATACATTTATACGAACTTTTTTACTTATTTTTATCTGCAGAATATGCTGCCAAAGTTTCCTGAATACAATTTGGACCACCCTGTATATTTATTACGATGATTATTGACTTTTTAATTTCAGGTATAAGTTGATATTGGAAGGAAATCTGCAACTGAGAAGGCCCAACAAGGCCCTCGTTCCCGTTCATATTCTTCTGTTGGAAGAAATGGTAGTGTTATTGCAAAAGGAGAACGACAAGTTTATTTTGAAGTTCTTCCAGTCTGGCATCCCAGGACAGCCCGCTCTCTCGCCCATTATCAAAATGAGCACGTTGCTAGTGCGAGAAAACGCTGTCTGTGAGTTTGAACACATAATTGTTTTTTTTTTCTAGTATATGGTTCTTTTGTAATTTTAGGTAAAAATGCTCTGTTCCTCGTAAACACCTCAACGACGACCAACGTCTGTATGTACGATCTTCAAGCGGAGGACGAATCAAAACGAGAGACGTATGTAATTTTTCATTATTTTTTTTTTATTAATACTTGCTAAATCTTATAAGATTCAGTAAATATTTTGTTGTAATCAAAATAACTTAACATCAATTTACAAACCGTTTTTCGGCTCTTTCATTAGCTTCGAATTGTTTTTGAACCTTCTTCTAGGTTGCAATATTTCTGAAAAGTATTACTATAAACTACAAGATGATTAAGTTTAAGGAGCAAGATTTTAACATTCAATAGAAAAAACTTTTTTTAAGAAGTAAATTTTTTGTCAACTTAGGCGCGGTACATGTAGAATGTTTAGGAGGGGAAGTAGTCACCGCGACCTTAAGGATCTATTGTGTGTAGGCGCGGTACATACATAATACGTTATGATCGAAAAAAAAACGTCGTCCAGTTGGCTGGGAAATGACGATCGATGACATTTCCCATATAAATTTACATATAAAATGACAGCGATCTTCATTTCATAGCCATCGCTGAAGCGGTTTTTTTTCGATCGTACGGTATAAATATCCATTTTCGAGACATTCCAATATTTCACATAATCTACTGTATTTTAGGTCCAGACACATTATTTTTCTAGATTTGGACTTAACGTAAAACTAACTAAAAAATAATATTATAACGTAAAGACAGAAAGCGCAAAGGACAAAAAAAATCATATTCGTCAAAATATCAAGAGACGTATTTTGTTGTAAACAAATTATTGCTCATTTATAAAAAATGTCTTTTGTTTTAGAGGGAGTGTTGAATATTTTTTTAAAATACTAGGCAAAATTCTACAACTCTGATTAAAAATATCTGAACTTTTATGCAAACAGTCATTTTTTCAAGTAGTGCTACAAAAAAGAAGAACTGCTTGCCTATTGATATTTATAAACAAGTAGTCTCGTATAAATTCACGATGCGATTTTATTGGTTAGATGGAGAAAGAATTTTTCTGACGCCGCCGAATCGTACAACAGACGCGAGGGCAAACTGAACCGGGGCAGCACGATAACGACGTCTTCCCAAGAAACGGCCTCCGATTCCGACACGAATTCCATTAGAGACCTGTCGACGGAGGGTGAAGTACCCGAACCGCCTCCGTCGGAAAGTACTCCGTCCCCGGCGACAGAATCGCCAGAGCAACCCCCGAAAACTACCGAGCCCTCAGATTCTCCTTCGCCTTCTGAAGATCCAGCGGGAGACCAAACACCAGGTACGTTAATTTGGGAATACAGGATGACCAAATATATGTTCAGAAAAAGCTACCTATCAAGTTTCGCATTTGAGAGATCACTGCAGTCTTATTTACAAAAATGGGCAGGCAATCATATTTTCATATACAGAGTGCTCCGAATTGCATTCGGGAAACTTCGGCAGTATATTATGCAGATAAAAATTAGTAAAAAAGTTCACATACATTTATGTCGTAAAATTATATATGTCGGAGATACAGGGTGGAGAAATTTTATTTTTTTCTCAATTTTCTCCAAATAATTTCTGAATTAACGTCAATATTTGGATGAAAATTGGTATCTGGGAGTTTCTTTACATGAGAAATTTGATTTTGATGTCATTATGACTCTTACTTATAGACACTTTATTTATATAGGCTCCTATTTATAGAGGCACACATTTTTAACTTAATAGTAATAACTTTTCATCCATACCTGTATAAAACTACTGAGTAAAAAATATACATTTTCGCCATTTTTACATAAAAAAGGTCTCTTTGTAAAAATCGCTAGGAAATAATCAATGCATGTCATCATTGATATAAATTAAACATGTTGACTAGGTAGTTATTAGACTAAAATAACAAATTTGAAATAGTTTTGTTTCAAAGGATCCACAGAAACTGTATATATTTCTAGAGAAAATTATGATTATTTAAAAAAATAAATAAAAAGTTTCCAAACTTACCATTTCAGTCAAATAATTACATGCATGTTTATTTTTTGGTAATGATGACATGTATTGATAATTTTCATTTCAAATATCTTGAGAACGTAAAAAATGGCGAAAATGTATATTTTTTCACTCAGCGCTTTCTACGGGTATGGACGAAAAGTTATTACCTTTTAAATTGGTTAACAATATATAGACAGCCCCCTACAGTTAGGGTACATATTGAATATCGATACCAAAATCTAATTTCTTATGCCAAAAAACACCCAGATACCAATTTTGATCCAACTATCGACATTAGTTCAGAAATTAAAAAACCGAAATAAAAATAAAACTTCTACATCCTGTATCTTCAAAATGTATCATTTTACGACATAGATTTATACAAATCCAATATTTTTATCCATCGAATATATATGCCGAAGTTTCCCGAATATAATTCGGACCTATACATACAGATAAAAATTTCATCACCTTTTTTATTAAAGATTGGAGTAAAAATCTCAAACAGGAAACCTAGATTCACCCAGAATTTTTGGTCAAGCACCCATTGCTTCATTCATTTCTTTTGGTCATATTACTTACCTACTAACTCTCCGCACTAACTGGTATGCTTCTCCGCTTTTCAACTTATCACGCTTAAGAATTAAAAACCATTCTTGCCATAAACTCTTAACCAAACAATAAGTCATCTCGGAGTCATTAAAAATGACACATCCAAAAAAATATACTTTAAAGTTTTCCATTTATTTTTACTAGATTTATTGCCCGAAAGTAATTTTAGCTTTCAGAGTAAATTCGAGAGGCTGTAGGACGATACCGTAAACAAAAATATGCCAATTTACCTTGATCGAGTTTTTTTTATTGATAGAAATTTTAAATGGCAACACGCAGTAACGATTTAAAGTGGCCGCGAGCTAAAGGTTAAACAAGAAATAATTAACTGGCTGTTTTTGATCTCCGTTCCTGGAACTCTGTATAAACACACGCGCTGCGGAATGAGTTTTTTTGTCAGTTTCCGATAGAATACGCGTTAGATTGGTCGGGCAACAAAAAATCGACTTTACACCTCGGAGCACCCTTACTAATGGGATTTAATTTTAGATGTGACTCCTGGTGGTGGTATTCAATTGACAACGAAGGTAAGCGCGGAGGATTGGCCCCTGATTCAACCGTCGCAGGTCAACGTGGTGGTGCCGCCGGTGCACACAGCCGAATCGATGCTAACGCCTTTAGGTAGGCTGGGTTTTACAGACAGTACTAATTCACAATCCACAAACACATAAAGGGTTAATAGTTAACAGGTTAAAACAACAATATAATTAATCTGGAGAAATATAATCCTTTAATAGTCTGGGTATTCATTTAGCTTAGAAAATTTCACACCTATACTCTATGATCAATATATTATGAGAAACCAAAAATCTTTCGCGATTTTTTCTTCTTGTTATCAAGGCTCCATTGAATAAAACTGTTAAGAAAGGAGTGTATTTCAATGTTTTTAGTCTGGAAACGATCGCACTCTGTAGAATGTAACTATTTTTAAGCCTCTCTAAGATTCGCAATAATCTCAATGAAATTCAAGTCTTGACGCATTATTTTTTAGAATTTATAAGTGTATAAATTCGAAAAAATAAGTAGTGACGCATAAAGAAGAAATAGTATAAAATAAATAAACTCTCAAACAAAACTCAAAAAAGAGGTTTCAAAATGGTTACCATAACGTCCCTGTCATTTTAGTTAAGAATATGAAAATAATATTTAACTCCCCCCTTAATTTTTTTATTCAAAATTTGCTGTTAGATTTTAGAAGGACTTGGGTTTAGTCAATTATCCAAAATATTAGTTATAATTATATCAAAAATTCTAGTCTTTTTATTGAATGTTTGGTATGAAGTTTTCTTACAGAATACTAGAAGTAATGAAATTACTTATTATGTTTTTTCTGGTTCACAAATACTTTAAGAAAAATATTTTCTTTTGTAAATACACGTGAACTAAAAAGTATTTCTTTACTTACTGGTAGTATTATAAATCAAAATATTACATACTTATTAAGTAGAATTACATTGATCTTCATATTTTCTATAGAGCAAATTAGAAGGAAGGATGCCTTGGTCAAACAGGCCCTGGCTGAAAAGGAAAACCTGGTTGCCGACCTTTTGTCTATTCCTAGGGAACATTTCGAACATATCGCCGACATGGCAGCGTCCACCAGCGATGTCTCCATGTCCGGCGCATCGGACATCACTGACCGTCTTCTTGCCAGTGTATTTCAGGTAAAATTCCAGTCAAGAAAAAATGTTCTTTTCAGGAACTTGTAATTTTTCTTTGTCTAGGTGGATCTTCTTCAGAAAGCAGTTAACGACGCTTTCAACATAACCGAAGGCGAAGTGGTGGCTGCTAAAGGTGGAAAGAAACCGGCCTGTGCCAGTCAGGAACCTCAATACGCCAACGAAGTCAAGCCTAACGTACCCAGTATCCCAGCCAGTCAACTCAGAGATATCGTCACCTCACTCAGCAGTCAGCTTACAACCCTACTGGTAAAAATTAACATAAAATTTGTGAATTTTTTTAGTACATGTTTTTTTTTGTGTTTAGAGCGAAGTGAAACTAGTCGAGGAAGAGAGGGATCGGCTGAGGAAAGAACTACACAAAATGAAAGAGAAACTACATGAAGAGCACAATCTTCATAGTCCAGTGCCATTTGATGATGCCGCGTCTGACGGTAGTGCCCAGGTAATTAGTAATTTGACTACACGGTGTAGAAGTCTTCGGCAGTATATTCTGCAGATAAAAATAAGTAAAAAAGTCCGTATATAAATTATGTATTCAAAATGCTTCGGTTCGGAGATACATTCATTTTTCTTTCGAGACACCAATGGGCTCTTTCACTATATTTTGGAATTAGCATAATTGAATAAAGCAATTAATTCTAGAATTTTCTGCTATCTCACTTTCGAAAAATTTGAAGTCATTCTTAAGAAAATAAATAAAAACAAAAAAGGCCAGAATAAAAATCCGCACTTTATTTTTAATACGTCACACCTGGCATGTTGAAAAGCGGCAACACGGCCGGGCCACCATGCTGACCCACCACCACCTCCACACAAGGCCATTCAACCTTTTCCAATATGGCGGAGATAGAAGTACTTTATTTGGCGCGTATTTTAGAACCTGTTTTATTTCCAAATAGACATTTTTCACACAAATGTCGGGTTAGATTACGTAATATTTCACTAATTTTTTAATATACAGGGAGTCTAAAGCTCTCCACATAAGTATGGAATTTTTTGTATTATTACTTTTATGAAAACATCAGTTAGTTACTTTTTATAAAAAGGTCTGTTTTCTCAGAAAATAGGTAGGTAGTGTACTAGTGTGTAAATATTCAAACTTGAGGTAGCATATATAGGGTGTTCAAAATCGTCGGAAAAAGAAATAACCAGAAATATATGACAGAAAATAGCAATATAAACTAAATATTCAATTGCAAACACTTACCTACCATAGTTTAGAATTTACTGCACGTTTGATAAATATATACTATTATGGACAGTATAGGAAGTTACTTGTCTTAGTAAAAGCCTTGGTAAATGCTCTTGGTGTAAACTACACTGACTTGGGTCAAAAAATATGAAATATTTTTCCTATGTTTTGCAGCAATACACAAATGGGAATAAATTTAAACTGTAATAGGTTAGGATAACTAAAAAATATAATATGTGTTTCAAGATTTTATATAGAAAAAAAACTAAATACCTTTTTATAACATCATTCCTTTTTTTTGCATAGTTCTTCAATAAAATATTGGATATTCTGAACAAGATGTATTTAATAATAAATTCTGACGTAAGTGAGGGACAATTGTGACCTAAAAAAAGACTTACATCCAGGCCATTTATATTTTCAAATGTGAATGTTGTCAATATCTTGTGAGGTAAGTGTAAGCAGTAGCCATAACTACATCCTCACTAGGGTAACAGAGGCTTTGGGGCCTTTGGCCTTTTTGAGGCATATTTAATGCACTTCTTACCCGAAAATTACTAGTAGGAGTGAAATTATCTCTTTTAATAGCCATCAACCATTTTTTACGAAGCTCGTCATTTTTGGGAAATATAAAAGCAGAAACCTTGGGACCCCCTCTATAATTCTCGTGACAATTTGGAACAGAGCATGTAAAAGGTATGCTACAATAAAATGTTAATACCTACCCTTTAATACCTACCCTTTAATACCTATCTTTTGATTATTGTAAGTAACCATTATAAAGTACTATGCAGACTGGCGGTGAAGGTTTTTTACTGATTTAGGTGTAATATATTGATAAATACTTCTAGTTCTTACCTTAAAATAATTAATAATAGAGGAGTACGACAAGCACAAAAGTTTGAAGTTCTCTGTGTACTCAATTTTCTGATCACACCATGCACTGAACACTAAGAACTAAACAAACGTGTTCCAGAAGCACAACAAACTAGAGATAATTAATTATTTCTGGTATGCAATCGGAACGAGAAACCACTACCGGCTTTTCAGTTTAAAGGTAAACAATTTAATAATGCGCTGCCTTCGTCGCTATATTTGCCTTGCCCATATCATGTTGAATGGCCTTGAGTTGAGGTGGTGCTGGTCAAATCAAATCGCAATGTTGCCAGTTGTTGGCTGGCGCACGAGCAGGGTTCTGCAATGTGATTGGGCGTATTTTTCATACGTCATAATTGGCGCTTTCAAATTATTTCAAATTAAAGCAATTTTGAGGGCCTATAAAAAAATTATTCAATGTCATGGAACTATTTTTTTTGGATAAATATACTGAAAATAGTCTTCTATTTCAGATTTTGTCCTTGAATTGGGTATTTTACTTTTTGTGAAAGAGCCCATTTTCATCCAAATATCGACGTTAGTTGAGAAATTATTTGGAAAAAAAAACGAAATAAAAATTTAATTTCTACACCCTTACTAAAAGAAACGAAGCATTTTAGGAAATAAATTTATACAAACTTTTTTACTTATTATCTACAGAATATTATGCTGCTGAGAAGTTTCCTGAATACAATTCGGACTACCCTGTTTATTAGAAGAAAAATTAATATAATTTTTTGTGTGTTACAGGAGGTGTTTTGCGAAGCGTCTAGCGACGAGCCCAAATAGCGGTTGTCTGACGAATAACCCTCGGCGATTGTACATTTTGTAAGAAAATCTATACTTAGAAGAAACTATTTTTATATGACCGAAGAAGAAGCAAACTCAGAAATGTGATGTTGAATTATCATTTTACTACTTTTATTTAGCTGTTCATTCTCTTAGTTGGTGCAATAACTACTTTAAAAATACGGTTTTTAGTCACAGGAGTGTTTTACTTTCGTATATAATGATGAAAACTAGCTCAGGTATATATGTTTATGAATATTGTTTTCTGTAAATGTTTTAATCACATAGTAAGAAGATTTTAAGTGGTTTAGTATTTTTTTTCTCTATTATTTTCGTTTTTTTTTCTTTCGTTCAAGCAAATATACGCATAAATTCGATTGGCCTAAAAATGTAAACGCTCCAGTGACTGTTTAACCAGCTGTTGTTCATTAGTATATATGTGTATATAACGACAAATAGACTTAAGTGTCATGTTTTTTGTTAAGGAGAATAAAAGCGAACGTTTATTTTTCTTTATTTTATCATTTAGAGAGAGATAGAAAGGAAATTTTAATTGTTTACAGGAGGTATATTGTCAAAGAATTGTTGAACAAATTTTATTGTTTTATGTAATTTATATTAAATTAAAAATAAACTTTTTATTTATTCTCCTGTTCTTATTCTATTATTTATAACAATTTACCTGAACATAGTATTGTATTTATTGTTATTAATGTGGCCTTTTTTAATTTAAATGTATTTTATACAAGGAGAATAGAAAACAACGGGTGCTGACAGTACTAGAAGCTACCAGTGCATAGAAAGTGCCTTTACGAAAGCATCCACTCGCGTTGTCATTAAAGCTTTATATACATATGTGCATTTTTTAACAGAAAAAAATACTAGCGGCATTTATGTAGATTTTTAATTATGTTATTTTTTACCTTTTTCATTAGCAGTTTCGCTCCTAATGAACCAAACAGCAATTATTGTTATATTATGTATTTATAATGAAATAACACTATCATTAAATAATAAATTATTTAAAGTGTCATTGGTCGTTTTATTACCTCTTTGTCTCAAATTCAAAATTATTTGAAATGTTTGGAAGTAAAAAGAAATTGTGTATGCACTATGTGCGTATGAAGGCGCATTCTCACGACTCGTGTACTTGACAACATTTGAAATTGGTATACAGGGTTTGTACCTGTTCTGTGATACAGCAATTTCTGAGAAATATTTAACTATTTACCACCCGGGATCCGCGGACACAAAACTGGTATTTTGGGTGAAAGGCCCTGCCTTCGGAGGAAATCTTTGCGTTTATGGACAAGACCAAGTCTTTGACATGCAAACCCTTTAGCGTACTAAGTCTGTCAAAGGCCATGTTCGCAGAACTTGGGAGTACAAATCTAAAGATTAGTGGCGTCTTTTTAGAAAAAACGAAAAATGTAAATGCTTAAATGTTTATTTTACAAAAAGTTGTAGATGTTGATATTGCAAAACATTTCTACCACCAACTAAGAATTAAATTAATTTTTACTTTAAAATTACTTTATTGCTTAACACTTGACTTAGTAAAACTTTTCGGTACATATTGCTTACTAAAATATAATATATATATATATATTCTTATGGTGCTTTCATTAATATAACATGTCATAGATATAGATTATTAATGCAATATGATTTTTGCGCATTTTGAAATGCAGTCAGAATAAGGACCCTGTTAACAGTATGAAATATGAATATTATTTGTTCTTCACTGAACTTTGCCACAACAATTATTTAATTTAGGTAATGTAAATATACCTTTAACTCAGTCTTATATTTATAAAATTTGTTTCAAAACGTTTAACAATATTATAAAATAATAGAATATACATAAACATTCAACAAAAAATATCAAAACATTCAAACAGGATTCAGCAGAGATTTGTCGGAAGAAGCAGCTGGAGTATTGTCAAATTGTCTTAAGTGAATCTAAAAAAAATACATAAACTTTTTTGTTATTTATATAAAAAAAATTGTATTGTTTTACCAAAATATGCAGATTTACTTCAGCACTTCGGCTTAGGAAAGGAAAAAATCCTCCTGTTTTCAAGTGTGCTAACTTTGCTTGTGGGTAACACTTATAAAGTTCATCTTTTACAGAAGAGCTTAAAGGGGCATCATCAAAAACATCAACAATTGTCACAGGTATTTCTGTCAGTTTATGAGCCTCAACATAGCCTCTAATGCAATTCAGAGTCATGCGACTTGCCAACTCGCTTTGGGAAAGACTTTCAAGCTAAAAGAAATTATTTATTAATAATTAAAAATATTTACATATTTCTCATAATATAATGCATCGTGTACAACCTTTTCAACCATAAAATCTACTGTTCTAACCATATCAATGTCCTTTGCAGGTTCAGGTTCAAAATTAGACATAAGCATTCTTTTTAAAACTAGTGATGGTAACATCCAATACAAAGCTGCACTTTCGTGACCCTTAAAAACACTAGTGTCTGAAAACGAATTGCACAAAATTAGAGACGCCACTCTAGGACATGACGATGTGTATTCGGCGAACTTTTGAGCCAAATATCCACCCAAAGAAGCTCCAAATATATGAACACGGTCTAAATCAAGATAATCTAACAACTTCCTAAAACCATCACACCTAAAAAAAATTGTTAACTTTTCCTGTTACACTTGGGATTATAAGTTACCAATCCTTAACATTCCAGTATGGAGGTGCCTCTGCCAAAATTATCCGAATACTTCTTGCTGATAGACCTAGTGCTTGTCTAAAAAATACGTCAGCACTCCCAGACACTGGCGGCAAACAAATAAGGGGATTTCGAACACTTTTTGGACCACAATCGTAAATACGCCAACCCTAGTGAAAAATTACTCGTGAGAAAAATGTGTCTTGCAAATTTTCTTGATCAAAACTATTATTTAGAAATATGTTACTTTAGAATCGTCTGAATCCACTACAATTCTCCTTAAAGGTACGTTACTTCGAAAGCTGAGATACTCTGATGATTGAGACCAATCGCTTAAATTGCTCATTTTATTATAAAAACTTAAATAAATCCAAAAAAAAATAAACAAAATAAGAAAATATAACCTATCTATCAAACTTCAAACTCATTTTAGAGATGTTTAAAGATATTAAAATGTCGCCAACATTAAGAAACTAAATAAATAATTATAATTCCTATATAATTTACATCATATACAAGAAAACGTATATGAATAAAATCTTCTTCGATAATATTTTTATGTAAGTTATTTTGTTATTTTATATTTCTCTATGGTGTTACGTGCTGTGGTTACGTGTTACCCGGTTCTGTGGTTACCCGTCCCTCATCTTCTTTCAACAAGGCTTCAACGAAGGTTGTTGCTATTTATCAAATAGTTTTCTATTTATTGACCGCTACCTATTTGACGATAAATTATTCATTTTTGATATATGAATTTGATATATACATCCGTGTTCTGATATGATCTTGATTATTCCCATTATTCATGCTATTTAATTCAGAATTGATGATTGTTTATAGGTTAATCCCAAGGGCTGCAGATTTATGATTTATTTGTAAAATGATTCGCATTAACATTAACTGGGATTAAGATATGGAATTTAAAGAAAATGGCAAAAGTTCAAATATCTGCTTTGAGGGAATGGGAGCCGCTAACAGATCTATTGAATAAACTACCTACAAAAACTCAACGAATATTTAGCCAAGATGTGAAACTAACTTGTATCGACGCCTTGCCAGAGTTTCTTGCACTAGGGACAAATGTTGGAATAGTTTACTGGTACGACAGGAAAGGAAAAACATTACAAAGATTACGATGTGAAGATTCCAATTGCCCTCTGACATTTGTACGAATTGTTTCAACTGTGGAGTACATGGTGGCATGTGGAAATCAAAATGGAAATATTACAATATTTCAGATACCAAAACAATTTCCAGACTCATTGCCTCAAAGTCTTAAACCTAAGCAGGAGCAGGTAAATACATATGCTCTGTAAAGATATTCAGTGTATTATTTTAGTTCTAATTCTTCACAAAAGATCTTTAATTTTCATTAGGTAGAAAGGTATACAGTGAGTGATTTACACAAGGCTCCAATAACTGCAATAGAATGGGCTAAAAATGGAATGAAACTATTTTCTGGTGATAAAAATGGATGTGTTGTTCTTACCGAAATAGATTTTTATTTGGTAATATGTTTAATATAATTTCAAATATTAGTCAATAAAATATATCACTTTCAGCATATGTGTAAGTCATTAGAAGTACTAAATGAGGCATATGAAGTGGTACAGTTAAGTTATGCTCAGCAAAGACTACTTATATCCACTACTTTTAGGAGTATAGTTTGCTACCAGTTGGACAAATGGAAGATTTGCCAGATTGGAAAAAAGGATCGCAAAATGTAACTAATAATAGTCTTATTATTTATCAGTTTCAAGTTGAATCTCTATCTGAAATCATTGTAGATTGGGAAAATTTGGTTGTTTACTTTATCAGTACGGATTTAAACCTACCGATTTATTATTGTATTGTACCAGGCCTGGATTAAGAATCTGGATATCCGATTTTGAAGGCAATGTCCAGAAAACATTGTTATTTAAGGTACTATTAGTATTTTAAAATAAATAATTTAGTGTATATGATTTTTTCAGGACTTGCTATGCAAAGAATGTCCCCAAGTGCCATTACTGAACCCTGTTTCAAAGGAACTACAAAAATTAAAGCCACAGCAAGAGCCTGCATTTGGAAAACTCCACTCTTTTTGTGATAATCTTTTAGTTACTCATAGCAATGATATTGTATATATTCTTGATCCACAGCAGATGTCGGTTTTGGCCACTATTTCTCACTTAAGAGGGTAAAGAAATATTCTACATTTAATAAAATTTTAATGACTTTCTTAATGCATTAGTATTTTGGACATTGTTACCTGCAAAGATGAAATCTTTATACTTGAAGAGGAAAGAAGCTTATTGAGGATAGCCTTTCATTCAGAAATGGCTAAAAGTCAGTTAGATCTAAATCCCTCATCATCAACAAATTTTAATCCATTAGACTTCAAAACTGACCTTTTCACTAAACCTCTTGAGGAAGAAGATACAATCATTAATGCAGAAGAAGCACAGGAGTCTCCAAATGAGATATTCAGAAATTTTGATGAAATTGGCAAGCAAAATTTCGAAGATGATATTCTGTTTAAACAGTCCAAAAAAGTAAGAAAGAAATACACTCACAAAAGTAGGGATAGTGTGTTGAGTTCAAGCTCGACGAGTTCTGAAGAGAAAGATCCTAATTTAATCAGGTGAATTATATAATTTTTATTTGTTTGTATAGATATTAATGTAATTTTTTTATTTATATAGACCTACCCTAATGAATTTAAGTACAGTAGGTGTTTTACCAGATTTACGGAGTCCTGAATCTATTATAAATGATATTGAATATAAAGAGAAAATACTGGCTGATGTTTTGAGTTTAGACAAAGTGAAAATATCTTCATCTGAGGGAGAAAAACAACAGTCTTTGGGTAACATATCGAAATTTGAATCATCAAATCGAGCATTACAAGTAAAAGAAATATATTGTATACCTCATTGTAAAGATATAGCAATAACGAATAATGTTGGCAAAAAAACAACTAATACTCAAGGTAAATTATATGTATATGAGGTAGTCATAAATTATGTGTATACAGGTTTTTTATTATGCTTGATAACTTTTAGTGAAAAGCATTCCTAACGAATGGAAATTGAGTAATGTTCAAATAAGTACTAACAATGTTTTCACCAATGCTCAACATTCAAAAGCCACAGCCTCGCTTGAAAGGAAATCCTCAACTACCGATTCTATATTAAGTGATTGGGAAATTGTATAAATATATTATTTATTCTAATTTTAGCAGCTAGATGTAGTATTTAAGATTTTTTTTATGCTATGTATCTAAATAAACTTTTAGTTTAATACGTTCGAATTTTTACTTTTATCATATTTTATATATGATCGGAGACATCATATATTTATTTTTATTATTTTTTGAGCTGAAACTTACACAATTTGAAGAAATTTAAATGCAAATGCCCAAATTTTAAAAAGCAGTAGTGCCACAGAGTGGTGCTGACTGAATGCCGTAAGGGCAAGTGCACATATCTGGATTGGATCGGGAGTTGGATGTTTCCAGAGTCGTAGATCCTTTCCATAGAAGAAATTTTAAAAAGAAGGTAACAGCCTAGCTATGTAGAAATTATCTTCGGTTCGTATTCCGCGTAAACCTGACGTTAACGCACCGGTCAGATGACCCCAACTGCTGGCGTTGTGCTGGCGCCTAAAGCCGGAGTCTCATGCATCCGAAATCCGATGACACAACGATCCGACGGTGCTCCTATTGGTCGAAATATTTTGACACCAATTTTTATTTGGTATTGGTGCACTATTGGTGGATGTCGACAAAAATTTGGATGCGCACATATCTCTGCGTTAACTTAACATTTACTTTTTAGTTATTCTATGGTTTCTAACCTGAACAATTTTTGTAAATTTTTTGTTTATTTTTCACGTGTAGGCGCTGTAGGCCGTAGGCTTTAAAATCTCACTCAAGAACTAATTCGCGATGTCGGATAATGAAGATATGGAAGTTTCTAATGAAGATAACGAGGAAATGGAAGATACAGCGGTAAATAATTCGGAAAATGAGGTTTATTTGCCGGGAAAACCTCTAGAAGAAGGTGAAGAGCTAATATGCGATACCAGTGCGTATGTAATGTACCACCAAGCGCAAACCGGTGCTCCATGTTTAAGTTTTGATATAATACGAGACAGTGCAGGAGAGGATAGAGAGACGTTCCCTTTAACTGCCTACATAGTAGCAGGAACGCAAGCACCCCAAACTCATGTCAACAATGTAATTGTAATGAAACTGTCGAACTTACATCAAACAGGTAATACTAAAAATGAGGACGATGACGATTTGGAAGACGAGGATGAATCAAAGAATCCCAAAATGGCTGGGGCACTAATAAAACATCAGGGTTGTGTTAATAGAGTTAGGGTAAGCATTAATATTTTTTTATTGTCTTTTAACTTAAATCTTGGAGTATTTTAGAGTACAGTTATAAATAACAACATTGTGGCGGCAACTTGGAGCGAATTGGGTAGAGTTAACATATGGAACTTGATGATACAATTACAGGCTATTGATTCAGACCAGCTTCTTATGAAATATAACAGAGAGAACAAAGCAAGCTCTGCTTCTCCTCTTTATACATTTACAGGACACTCCAAGGAAGGTTTTGCTATGGACTGGTGTGAAACTGTACCTGGGGTAATAAATTTCTCAATAATTAAGGAAAAAAATAATGTATTAGTATCTAATAGGTTTTAGCAACTGGAGATTGTAAAAAAGATATTCACATTTGGACACCATCTGAAGCAGGGACGTGGAAAGTTGATCAGAGACCTTTAATTGGACATACAGATTCAGTTGAAGATCTTCAATGGTAAAAGGTTTTTAATTTATTTTTATCTCCTAAACATGTACCTTTAGGTCCCCAAATGAAAGAAACGTACTGGCCAGTTGTTCAGTAGATAAAAGTATCAGAATATGGGACACAAGAGCTAATCCTACCAAAGCGTGCATGATAACTTGCAATGATGCACATCAAAGCGATGTTAATGTGATAAGCTGGAATAAAAATGAGCCATTTATTGTTAGTGGTAAGTATTAAAATATTTTTTTACCTCCTGCTTATCAGACTAATGATATTTTATACACAGGTGGAGATGATGGGTTCCTTCATGTCTGGGATTTAAGAAAAATTCAAACCAAAACACCTTTAGCCACATTTAAGCATCACCTTGAACCAGTGACTACGGTGGAATGGCATCCAAAAGATTCAGCTGTTTTTGCATCCGGTGGAGAAGATAATCAAATTGCTTTGTGGGATTTATCCGTTGAAAAAGATTCAGAGACTGAATCAAATGAAATTGAAGTGAGTAGCTACATTATTTTTTTGTGGGATATTATTTAATTATATATATATAATTTAAATATTATATAATTATATATTATATTATTAATATAATAATATAATTTAAATAATATATATTATAATATATATTTTAGGGGGTACCACCACAACTATTGTTTATTCATCAAGGACAAAAAAATATCAAGGAACTACATTGGCATCCCCAACTCACCAGTGTCCTCATTAGTACAGCAGAGAGTGGTTTTAATATATTTAGGACTATTAGTGTTTAAAAAAAAAACGTATTTTTATCGAATATATATTATAAGGCTTAAAATAAAGTTGTTTTTCTAGTTTTATACTTCAAAGAAAAATTGTAAAAAAAGTATGAAGTATATAAATTAGTTCAGGCGACTAAGATTTACCAAGTGACGCATTGTTGGTCTCCCATGAGGACAATTCTATAACAAAAAAAGATTTTTTTTACTAAGGATCGATTTTTATCATATTTAAATAAAAAAAAATGATCTGTATTAAGCCCCGTTCTCAGGGCTTCATATTGTCGAGCGACACGTCAAAAAAACAATGAGATTTCCAGAAAATACGAAATTGACAGCACACATCTCATTGGTTCATTTTGAGCCTTTAAAGCCCCGTTCTCAGAACATCGGTATTGTCGAGCGACACGTCAAAAGAACCAATCGTATATATATGTTACGGTTAAAGTCCGATGTCCGGTTAATGTCGACATTAACATGTTAATGTTTGGGTTAGGTTATGTTTTTGTTTGTTTTGTTGTGTGTTATTTTCGAGATTAACTGGGTAATGTCGACATTAACCGGACATCGGACCTTAACCGTAACATATATACCATATAGATCGCAATCTAGCGGATCTTCTCCCAATTTCTATTTTAGGACTGTCGAATTCTTTTGGTTTCCAGAAACTTCCGCTGTCTCGTTCGAGATTTTGCACCCGCGTCTGTCTAAGAGATGGCGTGCTACTGAATTTCCGTAAGATGTCGCCACGCTTCTTGGTAATATAAACACGCTTAGTGGTTTTTCGTTCTTCCGACAGATGTCGCTATACACCTTGACAATAATAAAACAATGAATTCTTTCTTACCCATGGTTGATCTATAGTGCCCATATGGTCTAAAACTCTCCTCATTTCATTTTGCGACAGGGCTTTGCCTACCATAATGCTCTTTCTGCACGCTCTGGAAGCGTACATAGCCCTAACTTTGGACGGAACGCGATTTTTCGAGTAGTTCGAGTCGTCTTGCAGCATAAAAATCAGTTCGTCGACGTCCGACTTGCCAAAAACCACGTTATTGCTGATGGGCACTCGAGTTAAGTAGACTTTTTGCGAATCTTCCGCGTCCACTTCCTTTTTAAAATGGAACCCGTTCCGCCGGAACACGTCCTCGTGTTCCGTTATAACGCTCTTGGCCGCCGCGGTAAGTTCCAACAATTTTGGCCTAAAATAAAATAGTTTATTTTTTTGGAGGGTGGAATTATATTCGGAAAACCTCGCCAGTATATTTTCTAGATAAAAGTAAGTAAATAACTTTGTTTCGAAGATACAGGGTGTGAATAGATCATTCCTATTTCGTTTTTTTCCAAGTAATTTCTGAACTAACGTTGATATTTGGATGAAAATTAAGTGTCTTTTTAACATAACAAACAGAGTATTATTTAACTGAGAAATTTTATCAATATCATTATGACCCCTTGAAGGGAGCGCCACCTACATGTTTTTTAACTGTTTTGAAGAGTAATAACGTGCGCGTTCAAGGAACACAGCGGCTGACCGACCGCCGAGTATTTTGCTCAGCGGCTGACTGTTTTTGCGTGTAAAAAGAGACCGTTAGGGAAACCGCTTACTCAGCTACTCAGCCGCTGACCGTCCCTGAACGCGCCCAACTTTTCGTCCAAAAAAGGTCTCTTGGTAGAAACCTCTACGAGTAATGGTCCTCGAGATATTTAGAATCGAAATAATCAATACATGTCATCACGGAAAAATTACATGTTGACTAGATAATATTAGTTATTTGACTGAAATGATAAATTTGTGAACTTTTTATCATAATTTTTTCTAGTGAAAATATGATCAAACTGCATCTTTTGAACCTTTGTCAGAAAAAAAAATCCAAATTCATTATTTCAGTTTAATTACTATCCAGTTCACATTTTTAATTTTTATCAATGATTGACATATACTGATTATTTAGATTCCAAATATCTTGAAAATTACTACTGCTAGCGATTTTTACCGAGAGACCTTTTTTATGTAAAAAAAAAGGACGGAAATGTATATTTTTTCATTAATTAGTTAATACAGGTACGGACGTAAAGATATTACTCTTAAAACAGCTAAAAATATGTAGGTGGCGCCCACTACCAGTATGAGTCATACTGACATCGATATTGAGTTTCTCATGTCAAAAAACACCCAGACACCAATTTTCATTCAAATATGGGTGTTAGTAGTAGCTCAGAAGTTAATTGAAAAAATCGAAATAAAAATAAACTTCTACACCCTGTATCTCAGAAACGAAGCATTTTACGACATACATTTATATGAACTTTTTTACTTATTTTATCTGCAGAATATACTTCCGAAGTTTCCCAAATACAATTCGGACCACCAACAAAAAACGTGGCTTACACTACAAATTTTTGAGTGTCCATAACGGTGTTGAGTTGCATTTGTTCGAAATTGTATTTTTCGTCCGAGGCATGCTGATCAACAATAAAAAGGTCATTGTTCAGTTTGGTAATAATAAAACCCAAATTAAATTGTCCGATGATATCCATTTTTTCAAATTCCGCCTTGGAAATATTTTTTTGTAATTCTTCTTCGGCGTCTTTACAATTTTTCGGATCCAAATTCGATCTAAAATGAATCTATACATTTCTATTAATAACCTGGTTTTCACACACAGAGTGATACAATATTTTGAAGAAATTATGTTTATATTCAATGATTAAAAATGATTAAATATAATAGAGAAGGCGTTATTTTTTCATTAATTAAAAATACTAATAAATATAAATTAAAATATTATGAATATAAGGACAACATTTATAGGCTTATTTAACAGTAAATCAATATATTTTTTATTTGAAATAATGTTTCCTCTAGTTTTTCTAACAAAAAAACTCTACCTTTTTATCTTTTTCTGAATTATCATTTTCAAGCTTCTTTTTTAAATGTCCCTTCAATGTATCTATATTTACATCCAAAACAACTCCTCTTCTAACTATATTTTTACGTGGACTATCAGAAGATGCGTTATTTGCATTAGTATCACCGTCATCTGAGACTATTTCAAGTTTTTCCTCTACTTCTATAAAGTTATAAAATAAATTACTTTATAAAAAAACACTAACAGCTTTAGCTTTATTACCTATAAGATTTTCTTTAACATCATCATCTTCATTTGTTAGTTTACATCCAATGTCTACAAAAGATTGCAAGTTTGCCTCTACTTTAACTTGAGTAAAAGTAACATTTTGACTGACTGTAGAATTACAAGATTCATTTAATCTATGTGTTCTTTTAACATCTTCCTCAGTATCACTACTATATAAACCTGTCCGATCTTTTTCCTCCACATCTATTAAAATATAATATTTAGCTAATAAACATTGAAAATATTGTTGCGAAACCAGCTCTCTAATATGACTTTCTGGAATCGCATCAATGTAGAGACAAAGCGATGTGCGCGTTCAGGGACGGTCAGCGGCTGAGTGGTTGAGTAAGCAATTTCCCTAACAGCGCTTTCAGATGGAGCGGAGCGTCGGCGCTGTTTTTGTGCTGCTTGCTTTTTCAAGATAGTCGTCAAACGAAATCATCCTTACGCGTATGCTCCGTACGAGCATACGCGACCCATGTGAAATTGTTCATTTAAACTTATGGAACTCGCGGACGCTCCGCTCTATCTGAAAGTGCTGTAAACGGTCTATTTTTACACACAAAAACAGTCAGCCGCTGAGCAAAATAAAGTCAGCGGTCGGTCAGCCGCTGTGTTCACTGAACGCGCACAATGATTCAGGGTGCATCCACACTCCACATTATGACAAACACAGTGTAGAATTAAATTTCTATATCAGCAGTTCAATAATTTATTATATACCGTATGATCGAAAAAAAAACGGCGTCCAGTTGGCTGGGAAATGACGATCGATGACATTTCCCATATAAATTTACATATAAAATGACAGCGATCTTCATTTCATAGCCATCGTTGACGCCGTTTTTTCTCGATCATACGGTACCTATACCGCAAGAAATGTGTTTTCCTTGATTTTATATTGAAAACTATTATCATTTATTTGATTACCAACACATTACCAATAAGCTTTTCTTCTTCATCTCCATTCTTTGACAATTTACAAGCAATGTCCACAAAAGATTTCATTTTTTTTTCATCGTTAACTTGATTAATTGTTAATTTTTGACTTGAATTATATGTCTCATCCGATTTGTATTTCTTTGCGAATCTTTCCATAAAAGAACTCAGTTTTATATTGCCTTCGGTTTGACTCCTTTTAATGCCCTTACCACCGCTATTACTTAGTTGTCTGGATATCTATAAATATAATTAAAATTTGAAAATAGTATTAAATAACCAAAAACAAAAAAAATCATACATCCATATTTTGCATTTTATAAGTTGAAGGTAGATCCTTAAATGCTTCAAGTAGAGAACTTTTTACAATGGCTAATAAAATCTTCTCATTCTGCAAAAATATCTGTCTCTTATCTGGTGTGATATTCACATCAACCAAGCTGGATTTTGTGGTGATGTTTAAATAAACAAAAGGATACTGTTTGGAATTAAACTGTCTGTAGATTTCATTGACTAGTTTCATTAGTTTGTGAGGTTCACAAGGTCGTCTATTGATGTAGTAAAATTGTCTGTCTGAAGAAGATCTCCCACTGCCTATCAAGAAAAATATATATGAGAACTTTATAATTAATTTATTATTAAAATTACCATGCACAGCAGTCGATATTAAACAATCTATTTCAAAAGGTAATTCATCTCCAGGACATAAAGAAACACAGAATTCATTAAGAATTTCTTCTTCTGGTCTGACTAGTTTAATTTCTATTAATGTGGCTAGTTGTTTAATACCAAAAACATTAACAATATTTTCTCTTAAAGACTTGTTACCATCGGTTGACACAACTTTGGTTTTTGTGCCATTACTTGTAGTGTGTGTACAGGAGTATCTGCAATTTTGTTTTTAAATTTTTTGTTTTAATAAGTGAAAAATATCTATTTACCTTATTCCACTTGGAATAAGACAGTAGGCATAAAGCAGTGTACATAATTTTGTAAATTCCTTTCTCATAGTTTTTAAAAATTGTTTTCTCCTAACGGGAAGTGTTGAAAATATGTTTTTTAATATTACACTTGTTCCAGGTTGTCTAGCAACAAGTTCTTCACTGATAATTTTTCCATCGGCGTTATACCTATAAATAATCATATCATAATACAATAGTTTATGCCCAGATTATAACAATTTTCTTGCTTAATTCTTGTGCCTGTATCAACAGAATAATGCCTTGTACTGATTTCGACGTCACAAAGTGAACATAGAGAGCTCAGAGCTTCACCTCTAAAGCCCAATGTACAGAGGTGTTCCAGGTCATTAAATTGTTGGATTTTCGAGGTAAAATGTTTCAAAGCTAATAAAAAAAATTGGTGTTAGAGTATATACAAACAATAAGATTATTCTCCTTACTCAAATTTTGAAAATTATACTTTTTTATTCCCGTTCCGTTATCTATAACTTCTATAGATTCTGAGCCAAATTCTTTGATATAAATATCAATAATACTGGAGTCAGCGTCGATGGAATTTTCAACTAATTCCTTTAAGGCTATGGAAATGTTTAATACTACCTGAAGACAAAATATATTTTGTAATCTCGGAGCTTTTTAAAATTGAATGAATTAAAAGTAGAAATAGTATTTTGTACCTGTCCTGAACAAATTTTATGGACTGTGGCGTCATCGATGGGTTTGATTTGTCCACTGTTTTCGATGTGAGGCATGTTCTGATCCATTATAAGTATAATAATGTATAAAATAATAAATTAAAGGCGTATTAAAAAATATTACATCTTTTATCTTTTATAAATAATCATTTCAAATATAAAAACTTATAAATAAATTTAACGTCAATTTCTTCTTAATACTTAGTTTTCCGGCCTCAGACGCCAGGGCTATTCGGCCATTCAAATGTCATATAATGTCAAAACTTCTTCTTTTTCGATATGATAGCCGGAATAGACGTGTATTTATATATGACATGTGTGTCAAAACCTTGAAGCTGTGGTAAGTGTGACAAAGACAGAAAAATCATGACAGAGTGAACGAATATTGTAAAATGATGGTGACAGCTTGCAACATTTGTCTTTGTCAAAAATATGTAGTTTTTCCAAGTTAACAGAGCATATTCGTCTCTAGCCTATATTTGTTATAATATTATAACATATGTAAATTATTTGATTAAAGATATATTTCTTCTATTTTCCTACTGCATACTGAATAGCGCAGATGGATTGGATATCTCCAAATTCCCGACCAAACACTGCTCTCTCTCTGTTAGGAAGAACCAGTAATAAACATAAATCTTGATAGTGAGTGGTACAAATTTTTACGATATTTTTTTTAGCTCACACAACCGAGTTCGTTCCGAGAGTGAATAGTTCTTCTAACACTCCAGTCTCTCCTAGCTTTCTAAACAGTTCTTTCACATCTGTTTCGCCATCAACAAGTTTTCATCCAATAGCAAAGAAATTTGATGAACATGAACATATTACCGCTGGTGTAACGCCAGATACTCAATCACCATCTCATTCTATCGCTAGTTCACCGATTTTACAAGACAAGATAAACAACTCTACTAATGGCTCGGTCATTGTACCTGCATATCATGAAAATGTCGGAGGAACAACATATTTTTATCAATATCCTACTGCTACAGAAAACAACATAAGTAAGTTTATTATTTTCTTTTTTATAAAATCAAACTAATTCATCCCTTTGTATTACATGTGTAATAATGTTTTTTTCTTCCTTACAGAAAATGAACCTGTACCCAGCACAAGTACAACATCAAATGACTATACCACTTTTCCTGGCAAGTCTGAACCGTCATTTTTTGTATCTGAAGAACTAAAATCTGACATAATAAATCGTAACTTATTGACACTGCTGCAGCCTGATATAGCACAATATCCAGATCTTCCACAGGAAGTTGACAGTTACCACGAGCTTTTCCCTTTAGAGCCTATATCAAATCAGGTATTTAATTCTATTGCATACTACCTTTTCTACTTCTCAGTATGGTCATAAGTAAAAAAATCATATTTTCAGACCTAGATATATTGATTTTTTTATCAAAACAAATTTTTGTATAATTTTTCATCCTTCATTTTGTCCCATATAGGAATAATATTCTAAAATATTATTTTTTGTGGTTCTTACTGCTGTTAGGTACTTCAAGAAGAATTGTGCAAAATTTTATACATCTGGACCAGATAGTAATGAATTTTCTTACAAACTTTCATCTCTCTTTTATTCTATATGCAGATGAATTTTTTAAAACTGCTTTGTTGCTAACTAAGAGCAACTAAGATTTATACAAACTTCTTCACTCTTAAGGGTATAAACTTCCAAATGTCGCTTCTTATTGTATAATAACACTACTTAATAAACATTTATACAGTATTGCATGCCTCTGGGACAACCAGTTTAGGCTGTACAGGGTATCCCATTTTTGTGTGTTTTATGGATTTTCTCGTTTGTGACTAGAGATACAAAGATGCGGTTTTCATAACACTGTACTACTTTTTATGAAACATGAGCTTTCTAAAAATATGGTATATTTATTTTCATAAATAAGGTAAAAAAATGCATTGTTTAATTTTTTATCATAGGTGGCTGATTCAAACTAGGTAGTCAAAACAAACAAATAATTTATCCGACTTAAAATTTTGGTTATTAACTATTAACTACTCCATGCTAGTTTCTGTGTAAAAAATGCATTATTTAATTTTTTATCATAGGTGGCCGATTTGAACTAGGTAGTCAAAACAATCAAATAATTTATCCGACGTAAAATTTTGGTTATTAACTATTAACTACTCCACGCTAGTTTCTGTATAAAAAATGCATTATTTAATTTTTTATCATAGGTGGCTGATTTAAACTAGCTAGTCAAAATAATCAAATAATTTATCGACGTCAAATTTTGGTTATTCCACGCTAGTTTCTGTGTGTAGAATTCTTAGTAGAATTAAATTGTATTTTTTTGAGGAAAGTTCTGGGGTAGTTCTGATTTTTAATTTGTTCTTTATGTTTTTGGGCCGCTAAATCCGAATCTGAGGTTTAGTTCATTTTCGGTGCAGTTTATTAAGAAATCGCGACGGAAAGCAAAATTATCTGGTTAAATTAAATTAAATAAAATAATAATACTCTTTCAAACTAGATTGATTTATGTTAAAAAGTTAAATAAGGTATTTACTTTATTTATGAAATTTTGTGCATTTTACTTTATTTTTGAAAATAAATATAGAGTATATTATATTTTTAGAAAGCTCATATGAAATAAAAAGAAATTATATACAGGGTGTCCTATTTAAAAAAAATAAGTTTTAGACATATTTAGAAAATGACAGCTCTCAGCGAAAAACTAGTTACGCCAGTGGATTCTGCATGAAAAACTCTACGGAAAGCAGTTTTCACCTTTTCAAAAAGTTATAGGATAGGATAACCGAGGTACGAGGAGGGTCGAAAAATGCAATATTTTCAAATTGGCCCTGTATTTCAGGAACTAAGAGGTTAAACAATAGGCTAATACAAATCAGTGTGTAGAATCTTTAGTTTTATAAAAAAGTAGCGTGGTGCTTTGAAAACCGCATCTTTGTATCTCTACTCATAAACAAAAAAAAACATAAAACACACTAAAATGGGAAACTCTGTATATTGATTACCATGTCAGTCAGCAATGATTTTAAAAAAGTTGGGAGCATATTTTGTTTTTTTTTTTTCATAAAAAAAATGTTGTAGGCTCTTCATAAAGCCCATTTGGGCTATCAGGCCTCCATGTACAAGGCGACACATACCAAAACTGGTGTCCACTATTGTCTGAGACGAATCCACGGGTTTCGGTTACAGAACGTTAAATGCATGGCGTTTGTGGAAATGTGGAAAAAGCTCAATCATTCCAATATAGTTAATTTAAAGGAAGTGTTTACCACAAAAGCGTTTGGTGATAATTCTATGATATTTGTCTATAGTTATCATCCAGGATCAGGTACTTATAAGTATTAACTTTTTCAAGTGTTTCCTTTATTATTTTTTTCCTAGAAACTCTACTTAACAAACATTTTTCAACTGATCAGCCCGGGTATTCAGATCCTTTCACAAACGACGTTTCGACACCTAGACCCTACAGTTATCAGAAGAACAATTTACTTAGGCACCAACAGAACAACAAACTTCCAGAACCCTTAATATGGAGCTACATTATTCAGTTAACATCGGCCCTCAGACTGATCCACTCCTCAGCGTTGGCGTGTAGAAGTTTAGACCCAACAAAAATTATTTTAACTTCAAAAAATAGGTAAGCCTTATTTTCAGGGTGGCGCCTCTCATACGACGCAGAGGTTCCAATGAGAATGCTAGATTGTATTGAAATTAAACTTTGGGGGCATATGTTTTTTTTAAATTTTTTATAAAATTGTAATATTTTTGGCATATTTAACATTTTCTGAAAATGAAGAATAATCTTTAAATTTCAATAAAATCTACCTAAATTGGAATTTACTGTGTTTAGCTTGATATTTAATTAAAATAACCATTGTATGTCAACTCAAATTAAAACAACCTGAAAATATATGTTACCGTTGCTGTTACCAAAAGGCCATTAAACAGAGAAGAAATAATTTTACTATCTGACAAATCTGGCAACCCTGTTCTGCCTCTCATTACTAAGTTTTTGGCACACAATAGATCTTTAAGCTCGTAGTGATTAACCCCCCTTTTACTCATTCTACATTACTCTAAGTTTTTATCCCAAATTTTTTCTTTTGTCGAAGTTCCACCGCCGACGCAGGGGGCGGGGCCACAGGCGTCCGCCTCCAGAAGCGATCTTCTCACTCATCGTGTCACTTCTTCTCAGTGGAAGGGAAAACAGAGTTATCTGTCTTTGTTACATTGCATGGTAAACTACAGCCGTGTCATCTTTTTTTAACGCATTGAAAATCTCCTATTGCTCTGTTTGTTGTATGCTGAAATGAACTAAAAACATATCCAATTTATAGGTAATATCGAGCAATTTTGCTTTTCTATTATTAAACGTGACCATATCGATATTTTTGCCTGAATTCCTCTTGTTGTTTTAGATCCGTTTATCAGATAATACATATGCTCATAAAATGCTATTTCAATACAATCCGTCGTTCTCCTTGGAGCTTCCGCGCCTGTGTGACAGGTATAACAGGGTGGTCCCTACCCTGGATAAACCGATTTATAAGGGTTTGTTTTAAATACTCTGTGTTTAATATAGGTTAAGATTAAGCTGTTTGGGTGTTATGGACGTCATTCTACACGAAAATAATTCGAGCATTAACCATCTGGCATTGGTGCATCATTATCAGCAGGAAGATTTGACAGCGCTGGGGAAATTGGTTCTTGCCTTGGCATGCAAGTCGACGGTAAGAAAAACATTTATTTCCTACGCTAAAATTAAATAGATTGAATTAAAAACCTGTGACAGTACATTTAAACTACTCCGTTAGGTTGCCGTTCAACGAGAAAACATATCAACGGCAGTCGATATTGTTAGTCGTACTTACACCATGGACCTTAGGAACCTGATAATGTACCTTTTGACCAACCAGAGGAGGAGCGTCACCGATTTAATGCCCATGATTGGAGCTAGGTAAAAATACCGTACAATCGAGAGAAAAAAACAGCGTCGTAGTGGTCTTTGACACAGAAAATCCATAGCAATTCAAAGGTTACTGTGACGTAGCTTTTTCTGTCGTTTAAACGGAAGTAATCTAATGTTTTTTATTATTTTTTTTAGGTTTTATACACAACTGGACAATTTACATAATCACATAGAAGTACTGGACACCGAACTATGTAAAGAGGTCCAAAACGGCAGGTTGTTTAGACTGTTATCGAAACTGGGTTCTATAAACGAACGACCCGAATTTAATATGGAGAGTACCTGGTCAGAAACTGGCGATAGGTAAATATTATTTTTATTTGCAGTTAAATATTAAATAAAATTATATATTTTTGTCCACCCAGGGAATATACAGGGTGGTCCGAACTGTATTCCGGAAACTTAGGCAGCATATTCTGCAGATAAAAATAAGTAAAAAAGTTCGTATAAATGTATGTCCTAAAATGCTTCGTTTCGTAGATACAGGGTGTTGAAGTGTCATTTTTATTTCGATTTTTTCCAAATAATTTATGAAGTAACGTCAATATTTGCATGAAAATTGGTCCCTGGGAGTTTTTTACATGAGAAATTTGATTTTGATGTCATCATGACTCCTACTTGTAGAGGGCGCCACATACACATTTTTTAACTGGTTTGTAGAGTAATAACTTTTTGTCCGTACCTGTATAAAACTAGTGAGTAAAAAAATATACATTTAGGACATTTTCTACGTAAAAAAGGTCTCTTGGTAAAAATCGCTACGAGTAATGGTTCTCGAGATATTTGGAATCGAAATGATCAATATCTGTCATCATTGACATAAATTAAACATAGAAATTAGACTGAAATCATAAATTTGAAATGTTTTGTGTCAAAAGTTCAACAGAAACTGTTTTATCATCATTTTTTCGCAAAAAAATTATGATTAATTAAAAAAAATAAAAATTTTCCAAATTTATTTATTTCAGTGAAATCGCTATCTACTTAACGTGTGTTTATTTTTTGTCAATAATGACATGTATTGACTATTTCCATTCTAAATATCTTGAGAACGATTGCTCGTAACAATTTTTACCAAGAGATATTTTTTACGTAAAAAGTCACGGAAATGTATATTTTTTCACTTAGTAGTTTTATACTGGTACGGACGAAAAGTTATTACTCTTCAAAACAGTTAAAACATATGTAGGTGGCGCCCTCTATAAGTAGGATTCATATTGACATCAAAATCAAATTTCTCATGTCAAAAAACTCCCAGACACCAATTTTCATCCAAATATTAACGTTACTTCAGAAATTATTTGGAAAAAATCGAAATAAAAATGAAACTTCCACACCCTGTATCTCCGAAACGAAGCATTTTAGGACATAAGTTTATATGAACTTTTTGATTTATTTTTATGTACAGAATATGCTGCCGAAGTTTCCTGAATACAATTCGGACCACCCTGTATAATTTTGACATACGAGACGCACAAAAAATGACAAGACAGGAAAGAATAATCGACTTTTCAATTAAAACGACAGAGCATCTGTCACTGTTATATATTTTTTGTTAGGATTGGTTAGGATTTAGTTTCTGAGGAACAGACTATAACGGGTGACTCGGTTTTTCCAAAATAAGCTCCATATATAGGATGAGAAAAACTTATCTATTTTGAAAAAAGTCTGTCCTAAACTTATCTAGTTTTAACGCGCCCTGTATATCGCAATTTTATAAAAGTTCTTACAGCGCTTTCAGATGGAGCGGACCGTCCGTCGTGTTTTTTCAAGATAGCCGTCGGACGAACTCCGTCGGACGGAGCATACGCGCCCATGTGAAATTGTTCATATAAACTCATGGTACTTGCTCGAAGTTGCGGACGCTCCGCTCCATCTGAAAGCGCTGTTAGGTTATCAAGGTTATCTTAGTTAGTTCAAGGTTATTTTTTCTTGAAAAGTTTTTCGCCGCTAGAAAAAAATCGACAAAATAAAAAAGGTATTTTTTGTAAACATCACTGCATTGATTCAACGGAGACCAATATTTTAAATAGTTTTTTTTGGGCTTTGTGTTTTTTTGCTTTTTACGACAGGAGGATCTCCTAAAACATTAAGGACTCTTTGTCGGTTAGGTTTTCTTAGTAAAATACCACTGACAAGTTGGTTTTCGTTGGGCTAATGCCCCAGTGGTGTTTTCAAAAAATAACTATGATTTTGTAGATTTTCTTCTAGTGGTAGAAAACCCAGGATTCTTTTCAAGAAATGAACCTGCCTCAAAGGTATAGACATTTAGTATTATCCTTATATAAGAATATATAAACAAGGGTATTATCTTTTTTATTTGTTCTTGCAGATACATGCTGAAGTTATTTCGCGACTACGTGTTCCACCAGGTGACGGAGGAAGGTCAGCCCTGGCTGGACATGGCCCATGTGGTCCAGTGCCTAAACAAGCTGGACAGCGGCGCGCCCGAAAAGATCTGCCTCATGTCCAGGGACGAGCAGAGCGTGCTTGTGGTGTCCTACGCCGAGCTCAAGCACTGTCTTGACCAGTCGTTCCAGGAATTGGCGGGCGCGTCGCTACTGCACCACGAACTCGCCTCGGGCGAGGAGAACAAGCTGTAAAAAACTATATTGTTACGTGTAGTTTTTTACTACGTATATCCCTTTTGTAGAGGGGATATCTTTTATTTATTCGAAGGAGCGAGTTATACTGTATTGTCGTGGCAAAATGGCGTTACGTTGGGTTTTGGAATGGCATTCATGGTTGTTTTCTGTTAGGTTGATTTCTATAAAAGCTCTGAATTGTAAAGGGGAAACTGCGGCAACATGTTGTGCAGTTGTATATAAGTAAAAAAGTTCATACCCATTTATGTCCTAAAATGCTTTGTTGCGTAGATTAGGGAGCATTTTTAAAATCGCCGAAATTTGTTTTTTTTTTCGAAATATCTAGTACATAAACTTTTTAAAAAATCCGAAAGGTGCATATGTTTAACCTCACAAAACTGCAATTCTTTCCCCATTTAACCGACTTTCTAACTGTTTCCGAGATCCCCATAAAGAACATCGTAGAAAACTCGCTATTTTTATGAAATATAATTTTATCACACATTAATTTATTTATAGCAAATTTTTATGTTAGTGTTTAACAAACGTCGTATAGGGGTCGACTCGATAGAAATTAGCATCCATTGTCATTTCAAAAGCCACTGTGACGTCATTTTTTTTTCTCAGATCGTACGCTACGTTGGGTCAGTGCAATTGTTCGGGGATTCACTGTACGACGAACTACGAAATTTATGCTATAATAAGAACGGTTTTTGGACTCTGCCTTTTGTCTGCCAAGTAGTCACACTTACTTTTTATTTCGATTTTTTACTGAGAAAAGAAAAAAATATATATTTTTGGCACATTATGATTTAAAATTTGCTTTATTGTTTGTGCTAATTATGAATGAAATTGTATTTAAGTTTGAGAGCAGGAATACAGGGTAGTCCACTTTTATTACCTGGACCATAGATAAAAACAATTATATCAACATATCTCCAAAATAATTTGGTTTTAGAAAGATGTTAAATTTTCGAAAAAAATATCGATTATTTTTGAAAATTTCAGCAAAAAATTATTAAAACTAACCATTTATAACACTGTGTTGATATATGAAACTTTCCTCCTAAAAGTTAGTTAGTTTTTGATAGTAGTGACTGAAAAATAACTTTCCAAAAAAAGCAATTTTTTGTAAAATTATTTCTTTAAACGTCAAATCTGTCATATTTTAATTGAGTTCCCAGGTTGATTTTTTTCCATTTTCAAGCAAACCATTTTACTAAGTAATACATCTAATAAAATATAACTAATAAGTAATTGTTAGCAGTTGCCATTTTGAATAGAGTAAATTTTAAATCAAAATTTCTAAAATAATCTATCTCATATTTTTAAGCCAAAACTTTATAAATTTATTTTTTTTTCTTCTGAATAAAATATAAGACCTATCTTAGCATTAATTTATTTGATGCATATATTATAATATTATTTCTTTTAAATTAAGAGATAATTTACAGTGATGATTTTAACGCCCTATATATCTTTTTTAAATAATCCTATAAAATTCATAAATTACTTTTTAAATGCTTTTAAACCTTTAGGTTTATGCCTTTAAGCCTAATTTTTTTATTCTTTTTAGCGGTACAAATTTTATTGTTTGTAAAATCAATTAATCTTGACAAAAGACATGTTTTACTGGATATTAAAAACAAAGTCACGAAAAATTTAGGAATTATTTTATCAATTTTTTAAAACATTTTTTTTTCCTTACTAATCAGAGTTAGTAAAATTTGTTTCCATGAAGAAATATCCCGAATATAGTATATAATTGAACCCGAAACGTGTTATATTCTGTCATATTTCTACAGCTTTTTTATGTTTTATATTAAAATTTTCAAAGAAATGGCACTCTTTTGGTAGGAAAAATACACATTGTACAGATCCAACGTAATTCTCATTTGACAAAAAGGAAAAACACTCGAAAAAAAAATGAAATCTGGCAAGACTGCGCGTGTTTATTAGTGTGATTTAATAGTAACGTTTTCAATAATATTTTTGATGAAAAAAGCTCACTATTTTATCCACTGACGATGTTGAAGATGAAGAAAAAAAAAAGACTTTGTCGTAAAATTGTAAAATATTAATGAAAACAACCTGCAATTCCATTGTTTTTAAATTATTGAATAGATATTTTTTGCATAAGTTATATTTTCTTCATAAAAAATACAAAAATATAAAAAACGATAAAAATTAATGCTTGTTTTATTTATTTACCCGAGAATCAAATTAAATTTTATTTAAATAATAATTATTGGTTGACAAAACCACACAAAACTGTTTATTGATTTGAGATAATGCGCACTCTCATAGTAGTTTGTTTTGCTGGGAATTCTCGTGATAATTTCCTGTTATCATCTGGAGTTGTAAACAAGTATACAAAAGCAGAAAGAAATTTAACAGATAACAACTTTTCTTTGTGTACTAATCTTCTTTAAAAATATTCGTATTTAGTTGGACATCAGTGTTGTTTTGTGCTTAGCATCGATAAATACATATTGTAAGTCGTATTTTTTTGTTGAAAATATTGTATTACAAATAATTTGTTATCTTAGGTTTTAAAAATGACCGGGCACTTGTGGATGCTGCTACTTTTTATTGGTGTTAATTGTCGACTACACCCGTTATCCGATGTATTCATCGAATCTATCAACAAACAAGGCACGACGTGGAAGGTAATTACTCTATTTTTTATGAATCATCGTCTATTTTTTAATTTATTTTTTATAAATGTATCAGAAACTATATCAGTATTATTAATTAAATGTTTTTTGGAATTTGATACGTGAAACGTAACTTTGATATATGCAAAAAACGTTGTCGCACTGGTTTTTGAAATGATAATCGACGATAATTTTTGCTGGATGGACTTTTTTAAGTCTTTTATTAAAACGACTTAAAAACTTGTCAAAAAATAATATTTAAATGGAGGAAAGTACTAAAGTTTGCAAGACATCAATCATACGCACAGTCAATTGAAATTATCGTTGATTTGTCACTTGAAAGGCTACTATGACACTGTTTTTTTAATGAACATTTTTTTATTTTCATTTAATGATTTTTTATACCTACTAAAAAACTCTTTTAAGTAACTTTTGTACTCCACAGTGTGTTTCAAAAAGCAGGTGTTATCTCTCTTGGGGTTATTCCCCATGTAAAAATAAGATTTATTTTTTATATCAACGTAGGTCCGATTCTGCTTTGTTTCATAATTAGGGAGGACGAAGGGTTATGGAGATCGAAATCGACAAAATATCAAGATACAACTTTTAATCTTTTATTAATATAATTATTTTTTTTTTAAAAAAGATTCTAGTGGTAACCCATATGCACTTCCCTGGTGAATCTGTCGATACTTTTTTAGCATTAAAATATGTTGCATTTATAGTAACTTTTACCCTCAAAATTTCATTTGAATCGCTGAAAGCACCCTGTAACTACGAAACAAAGCAGAATCGGCCTGCGTTGAATGATAAAAAATAAATCTTATTTTACGTGAGAAATCTCCCCACAAGAGATGGCACATGTTTTTTGAAACACACTGTATTTTCGAAAAATAGACCCACTTTGCTTTTGCGCATAATAACAAAAAAATGCAAAAATAAAACAACAGCATAGAATTTTAACCAAAAATATATCTTCCAGGCAGGTAGAAATTTCGCCAAAGATGTGTCCATGAAATACATCAAAGGCCTGATGGGAGTACTACCCAACCACAAGAACTACATGCCTCCGGTTCTCGTTCACGATGTGGAATCCGTTCAGGTTCCGGTGAACTTCGATTCGAGAACTCAATGGCCCGATTGTCCCACAATTCGCGAGATCAGAGATCAGGGGTCGTGCGGGTCTTGTTGGGTAAGTGTGTGCGTATTGAAAGCAAACAGATAAGTAACAAGAAAAACGTTTCAACACGCTCAAATTATTTATCTATTAATTTGTTCACTTGAAAAACTTATTCTTGTATATGTATACACGGTGTCCTATAATAAGAACGCTCACTACAGCGATTTCGTAATGACTAAATTAGAGAAAAGTTGCGCTATGCTGATCCCTATAAGGACATCTAAATTCATTTCGAAATCTAAAAATATCGGATTACTTCCGAAAATATTTAGGAAAAGTGACAATTTTTTGGATTCCATTTTTTTATGGCTTTATTTCAAAAGATATAACAAAACAATTTTCACATTCCCATCGCTACTTTTCGTGCACGTTGTTCTTATTAGATTTTTAATTTGACGTTTCGTTTCCGAGATACCATTATCAACTTATTTTTTAGGCTTTATCGTATCTCAAAAGGAAAAAAACCGAACCCTTACGGCTCAAACGCACTGACGACCAGGTCGCAGCGACCAGCATTTGATTCAATATTATTACTGGTCGCAGCTGCATTTCCTAATAACATTGAATAAAATACTGGTCGCTGCGACCTGGTCCTCAGTGCGTTTAACTCTTATATATATGTATATATATATTGTTTATTGATATAACTACAAACATAAATTAAATTATAACTACGAAAATAAGTGAAGGGAAATATCTTTCTATAGAAAAATATGATGGAATAATGTTAAGCATAAGTGAACATTTGGTTTTATAATTTGCGCTTTCCGGGATAGTATACTGCGGATATTATATTCCGGAATCCGGCACAACTTACCGAAATTCGGGATTTTCTCGGAAATCCCCGACCCCTGGCAATCCTAATCCTCATGCCGAATTAAAATAATTACAAATTCGATGATTCTGTTTTAAATTTAGGCTTTTGGAGCAGTAGAAGTGATGTCCGACAGAATTTGCATCCACTCAAACGGAAAAGTCAACTTTCATGTGTCAGCTGACGATCTAGTGTCTTGCTGCTACACGTGCGGAATGGGTTGCGACGGGGGATTTCCCGGAGCCGCCTTTGCGTATTGGGTCAGGAAAGGCTTGGTTTCTGGAGGACCCTATGGATCAGAACAGGTATTCCACTTCCAAAAAAAAACGAATCTATATTTTTTATGGACCTTTTTCGGAATATTTGGATCACCCTGATTATTAAAGTAAATTAAATTTGTTTTTAGGGCTGCAGGCCTTACGAAATTGCGCCGTGCGAGCACCACGTAAACGGTACCAGACCTTCATGTAACGGTAAATATAATTCATTCCGTTTACTGTAGGTTCGTTCCAACCGGACCGAGAACCGATCCTGGGATGGTAATTTCTAGTCGCCCACTTGTTTTAAAAGTTTGATCGTTTGTCAAGATTAACAAATAAATCGACTGATAGGAAATATCTCTCATCCGGTTGGAACAAACATTGTATCAACCACACTGTAGAAAATATTTTTTTTAAGGGGACGATCATAAAACACCTAAATGTATCAAGCAATGCGAAAAAAGCTACAGCATTCCGTACGAAACAGACAAGCATTACGGACAGAAATCGTACTCGATTTCCAGCAGAGTGGAACAAATTCAAACTGAAATCCTAACCAACGGACCTGTTGAAGGTGCTTTTACAGTTTACGAAGATCTTTTGCAATACAAAAGCGGTAAAAATATCAAAAAGTGTTCTTGTTAGAGATTTTTCTTTAAGGAAATAATGTATTCTAGGTGTTTATCAACATGTAACTGGTCAAGAATTGGGAGGACACGCTATAAGAATCTTGGGATGGGGTGTTGAAAACAACATACCCTATTGGCTCATTGCTAATTCTTGGAATTCTGACTGGGGTGACAATGGTTAGTTAGTATCAGAACTTTTTGTAGTGGAAGAATTGCGTTGCGAGGCTTGGCATTTTTTACATTCTATGTTTTTAATGGGATACATTTTAAATAGATGCCATGTGTGATATATTTTTTTTTACTTTTAAGTACATTTTTTGGTGATTTGATACCTATCACTCCCTCCATGAACCCTTGTACACAATTTCATAATTCTAGATCAGATAGCAACGAATCCATACAAACTTTCATCCACCATTTTACTTCCTAAGGGGGATGAATTTCGTAAAAACGATTTGTTGCACTAACATTATTTAAAAAAATTTTGTTCAATATTTTTTTTGTTTCTAACGGCAGCGTTACAACTTTTCATACTATATTAACCCTACTTTTTTAATTAAAAGAAATATAGAATTTGTGTTTTTATATAATTTTGTGGGAGCCTTAACTTACATTAAATTATTAAATTTAAGTCTAAAAACGATTATATTTTAAAAACCATATACCTTGACCTTATATTATTTTTGATATGTGAATTGGAAAAGGTAAATTGATTTAAAAAAATGGACTACTCCATTTCTCATTTTTTTTTTATTTTACAAAAAAGACGGGTAAAAAATAATTTTGTATTTTTTTAGAATATTGAGCGACCTGTATTTGCTAAGATTTATTAAGAGCTCAAACGCACTGACCGCCAGGTCGCAGCGACCAGCCAACGGCCACCAATCAAATGATACAACACGCACTAACGTTCACGCCCAAGCAGTCGAAGCTTGGTCGCTGCGCCACGTAATACCATTAAATGCATTAAATCATACGATACAACCAGGATACAACGCGCACTACTTGAAACCATAATTCAAATATAGTTAAAGTAAAAACACACGTATGCAATTTTATATATTTCATTCTCATCAGTGCTCTGGTTAAAAAAAACAAATCAGTAGAATGAAAAAAAAAACTGATTATAGTTTTTTAATGTTCAACGAATAGCTACCCACACACGGAAAGACTTGGCATCAAGGCCGGGACTTTCACCCAAAATACCATAGTTTTGTGTGAAAGGCAAAATATTTTCTAAATGAAGTAAAGATAAAATAAAATAATCCAGTTAATATCTCACCAGAATCTTTATTTTACAGGTACCTTCAAAATACTGAGAGGTGAAGACCATTGTGGAATTGAAGACTCCATTGTTGCAGGATTGCCAAAAGTTTAAACAATCACTTTGTATTTTATAGAATCTCGATTATATTTTGTATTTTTTTCGCTATTAATTTTCAAAATAAAGGTAATAAAGAAACATCTGGCTTTTTTGGGATATTTAATTTAACAACAAATAATATAAGCACATGTTTAAAATAGATAAGTGTTACATTTCTAAAACTCTCTTAAAGCGTTCGCCAGTAAATTTCCGCTCCTAAATATGGGATCCTATATAATTATAATAAAAATTCTCTAAAAACGCATCATATATAAGAAATACATCGTCCTCTAAATTATAAAATTAAACTATTCTAAATTAAGATTAAATCTTACAAAAACAATGTTCCATCCAGACCAATACAACGAATAAAAATGTGTCTGCACCTCCTATTCAAATTTTATATATTTATCTTTTCAACAGAACTTATATCGGTTTAAAATTACAACATAAAAAAACTTTAAGTTTATAGTACAATTTTAGAATAATTTATTTGGATAAAATATATTAAAAATTAGTCAACCCCATCACTTCTATTTTTTTTATTAATTTAAACTGAATCATCTGTAAAAAATAAGTATAATAATACCATATGATTAAAGAAAAAAAAACGGCGTTCCGTTTGCTTGGAAATGACGATCGATAACATTCCCCATATAATTTTACATATAAAATGACAGCGATCTTCATTTCATAGCCATCGCTAACGCCGTTTTTTTCGATAATATTGTACTAGAAAGACTTAAAAAACGATTATTAAAATAAATTTTCCTAATAAGACACTTACCATGATACCACCACTTAGTTTTCTTTGGGTTTTTGTTGCAAGTTTTCACATAAAAAGCATTATCAGGTGGTCGTTGCTGAAAAAAATGTATTTTAATGGAATAAATAGTACTTGAGAAGATATACAGGGTGTCCAAAACTCTATATCAGGTAAAAATTATTACCTTTTCCTTACAACTGCTAAGCATTGATACAATCGAAAGACAAACAGACTGAACTGATAATGCTGGTGACCAATCATCGGTTAATATGGAAAGGCATATGTGTCCATTACTGTATACGTGTGGATGAATAGGAATGTGTTCTCCGGTAAAAATAACCTACACAAAAAATTCATATACCTATGTTAAAAAAAATCAATCAACTAGCTTACCTCAGGCGAGTCAAACGGGTAATTATCACTAAATTTGAACTGTAATTGAAAACTCTCCCCCTCGTACAAGGTTCTTTCTGCCCCTTCTAAGTGAATTGTCCACCTGAAAACATAAGGTAGATTTTATCTAAGATGTTTCATGAAATTCACAATCCCTCTACATACAAAAATAGATTTTGTTCGATTTGTTCGGCATCCAGAGAAACTCCAGGTGGCGGCTCTTTAATAAGCGATAACAATTCTCTATGTAAACGCCTCTAAAAATGAAAGCGTATTTAGTCTAGATTTCCACCTTTTCACACACGTTTTATTTTATTTATATTACCTTCGACGGTGATCGTTCGGTCATTGCAAATTTGGCTCTTTAAACAAAGAAGATTACCAAATATTTTTTCGCATAACTCACACTATTTACCCTCGAAAAAAATCAAAATAAAAATTTTGGGACAAAGAAGTGGCATTCGCAAGTAAACATTTCTTTTTGTGACATTAATCATCTGTTTAATAATCAATTTTTCAAGGTTGCCAACAGAAAAAAGATGACTTTTTAATAATATGTCATATATCTTGGTCATATAAAAATAACAGGGATTACTAAGGTATAGAAGCGATGCGCAGAAGGTCTAACCATGTTGGGCTCCATATTCTAGGTCTCCATCAAGGGTCTCTTGAGATGCTCTTGAGTCCAAGTCTTGAGTCTCCATGCATTTAACTATGGACATTTAACTAAAATTTGATATGTATATATGTATATGTCTCCATAAACCAAACCAATTTGGTTTGGTCTCCATGTCATTTTGTCATCATTTTGTATACAACCTAACCTACTTCTATATCTCTGGTCGAAGTTCATTCTCCCACTCCCATATCTCTGGGATTATTCTATGACCAATGACTAATGGTGGGTTCATACAGCCAAATAAAATAAAATAAGAATAAAATAACATAAAATAAGAAAGTAGGTTATATGGGATACCGTACATGCGTTCATACAGCCAAATAAAATAACAAATAAAATAAGAAGTCTTTATCTTTTAACTTCTTGTTTTATTTTATGTGAAAACGGCTTTGCGCACGCTTAATTCTAACCTACAAATATTTTCAGTTTGGATTTAATTTATTTTTTAATTTCACATAAGTAAAATGTATAATATAGTAGGCAACGAATAAATAAATATACTATAAATAGTAAAATTACTATAAACAATCGTAAAAGTTAACTTTTATCCAGCCTCATCGTACTGCGCATGAGCAAATATATATTTCTTATTTTATTTTATTTGCCTGTATGAACGCACACAAATTAGAATTCCTTATTTCTTATTTTATTTTATTCTTATTTTATTTTATTTGGCTGTATGAACCCACCATAAAGAATCCAAGGACAAATAACACCCGACAGCAAATTGTGACGCTGGCATCAAACAGTGCCGTGGCACATATTTTTCTTAACCTAGCTGTTTGAAGCAATATTTATATTTTTTGATAATTGTTTTGACTACACCTATGGTGTATCATCCTAATTAATTACGAAAAAAACGTATTAAAATGTTAACAAAAGATACAAAACTAGTATCGACGTACCTATAGCACATATCAAGTACATACAGATGTTAATTGAAATTGAAGAATAATTATCGAATTCAATAAGAAAACGCTAAAAAGTTGGAGTGGACTGTTTATTTACGTATGAAACGTAACTCCTGGCTCTTTCTTGTCGCTGTGGCTTTTACACTTGAAAGCTACACAATTCACCATTGTAACAAAGTTTATACAAAGTTCACTACACACAACAAACTATTAAAAATCGCTAAAATTGTCGCTGGTGACTGGATGATGACTCACTGTTTGGCATCAAACGAATGGCGTCTAACGTCACAAATTCTACTACAGCCCGTACAGGGGCGTTACATGTCCTTATATTCTTTAGTCATTGTCTATGACAAATAAAATAATTTTTTTTTATTTAAACGTATTTGCTCTATGAATATCTTTAAATAAGAAGACTAGGAAGGAGCATAATGCTATCCAAATACGTTTAAATAAAATATACGACGGTCTCCCCATAAGAGCAATGAGAAGATTTACGTCCCAGTATTAAAGGAGGACAGAAAATCGAGTCGAATGGTTTCAAGTTTCAAGACATAGGTTCATCCCAGTTCATCCCATGGTACAAAGAAAACAAGGTATGACCGATAACGGCTCCAATTTCGTTAAGTTTGCGCATACCACCTGTGACGTCATACGCCATACAAAAAAATATCCATATTGTGCAATTGGCACTAATAAAAAGAGACCTAAAATAGGGAAGAATTAGGTCATAACCCTAAAAGTTATGTGAAATCATCGTGCTTGACATTTGAAAAATTATTTTCACATTTTGACACAATCAAATTTCACAGATGACACAATCTGTTTGACAATTTGAAATTGGCGCGCAGAGCTCGCCGACCAATGGTGCCGTTTATCACCTGTGACGTAGTGACCAACCTGCGCAATATCATACCTTGTATTCTTGTATCATGGGTTCAAATCATGGGTTCATCCGATAAACGGCACCATTGGTCGGCAAGCTCTGCGCGCCAATTTCAAATTGTTAAACAGATTGTGTCATCTGTGAAATTTGATTGTGTCAAAATGTAAAAATAATTTTTCAAATATCAAGCTCGATGTCAAAACATAACTTTTGGGGTTATGTCCTAATTCTTCCCTATTTTAGGTCTGTTTTTATTAGTGGCAATTGAACAATATGGATATTTTTTTGTATGGCGTATGACGTCACAGGTGGTATGCGCAAACTTAACGAAATTGGAGCCGCTATCGATCATACCTTGTTTTCTTTGTACCATGGGTTCATACCATAGACTTAAAATAAAATATAGACTGAGCATCTCATTCATAAATAGCTGGAACATGCCGGCAGACACTGTCTTGTTATTGTTGTGTTATTGTTTTAGGTTATAACGAGTGCGACCGAGCGATAGATAGGTTGTCTCTGTCGTAACGGTCGTTCCCTGACGACTCTGCCGAGAAACACAACACAAACTTTCGTTTCTCAAGTACACCTGAACTCTCCGTATCATAGCCGGGTAATTTTTTTATTTTAATGAAGCTATAATTAAATTAAAAATATATCGTATTTAAACTTTTTTATATTTTATTAAGATTTAGGACAGGTTTTTTAAATATAAGTTTAGAAAAAACAATTTAGAGTCCAAAAAGGATAAAAATAATAAAATACACGTTATAGAAGAAATTTTATAATTGAAATTAGGTAATTTTTGAAATTAATAATAAATTATTAATTTTAGTCAAACATTTACAACCCCTAATATTAATCAAAACAGGATCTATTCCACAGATATAATAGAATCGGCGACAGGGAGAGAAAAAAAAATATGATTGTTGTAATTTTGTTTCTGGTTAAGTGATGTCTTATTATGTAAATTAGAGAAAACATAAATCTGTTCCATTAAAGCAAGGAAGGTGATAAAATAAAAACTACATTTATTTAACTCGGTACTGTCTTTATTATACCAGGTGCGTCTCAAAAGTGGCTCATCCCCCATAATTTTTTTATATTTTCAAATAAAAAAACAAGATTTAGTATGTTAGTATATGAAATAAATTAGGATTGATTGACGCATTCAATTGTTTTTGGTCACTTCCTTTTTAACCGGAAATGACTATAACTTTTAATTTTTAAACGGCGCCCTCGGTATATTTCTACTTTATTCGATAGAAAATGACACTCTGGATAGAATGACATATCATATGTCAACTTTTGACATTTTCGCATATGGTTTAATTGTAATTGTAACACGCGGTTCATAACGACAATTTGACCCGAAATACCAAGCGTGTGGTATCAATATATCATAAAAAAATGCTTTTTCCAAATATGCTAATGAGTCACCCTTATCCATTTGAAAAAATTGACATATGTATGATTAAAAATACGATTTGTACATATTTTAACCGACTTAGACAAGACACGAAACCTATTAGACGATCAAAACTATTTTTCCAAGGCTCCTTGATTAAAACTTAGTGTTTTTAACAACACCATGGCACCCTGGATTGAAATTTAAAATACGATTTGTTTTTCAGCGACAATGTCAAAAGTTGACATATGATATGTCATTCTATTCAGAGTGTCATTTTTTATCGAATAAAGTAGCAATATACCGAGGTTGCCTTTAAAAATAAAAAGATGTAATCATTTCGGTGAAACAGGAAGAGACCAAAAACAACTGAATACATCAATAAATCCTAATTTATGTCATATACCTATAACATACAAATCTGTTTTTTTTATCTGAAAAAATAAAAAAGTTATAGGGGGTGAGCCACTTTTGAGACGACCCGGTATATTAAAAAATATTGTTTCATAATGTAATATCAATTTAAAATTCTTGTATGTTATTTTATATGCTCAAGATAATTTTAGAATAAACCATATTTTTAATAAAATCATTATTAATTATTAACAGGGTTATAATTATGACTTTGTTACAATGTAAGTAAGTAAATAATGTAATGAGAAAAAATTCAGATTTTACATTTTACTAAAATATTATCTAAATAAGCGCCTTTCTACAACAACGCCACTGGCTCCCAATGGGCAAATTGAGAGTTGTCTACCGGTCGAAAGTCGTTTCAAGACTTAAATGGATTATTTAAGTCAAATTTCTTGCAAATTTGGCACTGGCGAACCATATTTTATAGTTCTTGAACAGAAAAAGTCAATAAAATAAACACTTAAGGACTACAAACTAAGAAAATGCGTTAATACAGCCGGGGACATAGCGGATAACTAATGTTGGCTCTAGTTAAAAATGATCTTACCTTTGTCAAAATGTTTCCATTTTCAAAAAAATGCCGATCAAAGAGATTATAATACCATTTTCTTGCATCTAAAAAATGTAAAAACAGTGTTTATTTACTACCTTATTTTTCATATATGGGACATACACCTACCACTGCAGAAACGCCATTTTCTCCAGGATTCTTTATGTAATATATATTTTATATACTATTATTTCCTTTATATTTATAAATTTCCAGCCGAAATAGTTAAATTGAACTTCCAAAACGAAACTAAACGGAATGAATTAAAATGGCGTCGAATATTTTCGAATTTGTTCTAGAACAAATCTGAAGCTGTCTCTGAAACTGAAATCTGTCACCTTAAACTGTGAAGTTAGATAATAGTTAGACAAAAAAACAATGCTGTCCTTGTCTAGGCGGCCATACTTGTCGAGGAGAATGACAGAATGACACTAATGACTGTTTCCAATTTTTCCTATTTCACTGTCACCCCTAGGCTCCCCGCCTCTAATCGGTGTTGTCATATTGTAAAGAACTTATCCTTTTAAACAGTATCCGACTTATAATTTAGTAGTATAAGGACTATTTAATACATCTATGGAATACTAAAACCTACTTTATTAAACTGTAGTATTAATATCTCAATATATGTGTATAACAAGAAAAAAAAAATATTGATAATATTAAAGACG